CTCTCTCTGACCCTCCCCTGCTCACGCTGTCTCTCTCTCTCTCCTAGAAATAAATAAAACATTAAAAAAAATTTAAAAAAAAAACAAAGAGAATGCAAATGCACACTCAATGCATATATTGTGAGTTCATGTATACATAAAGCTTCATAAATCAGAGGAAAAAGGTAAACTAGTTGATAACTGGTATTAGGAAAACTGACTTACCACATGAAAACAAATTAGACCTCTATCTCTCACCATTCACAAAAATAAACTCTAGCTGAATTAACTACCCAATGTAATAAGTAAATGTTTTTATAAAAACTATTAGGAGGAATACATACAGGAGGGTATCTCCATGACCTTGTAATACAAAAGGATTTAAGACATAAAAAGTACAAAGCAAAAAATAGGAACTTTTTGTACATCATTGTCCCTCTCTTACACACACACACATACACACACAAATTTTACTGAGGAGCACACAGGAATCTCTACTGATTCAGAATCCAGCACTAGCCCGGCAAGTCCGAGAACCATGAACATAGTAATTCTTGTAATTCACAATCTTCAGGCCCCAGAGCAACCCTCTCCTTGCCCATGCCCTTGAAGGAAGGGGACTGCAGTTAGTTACACTATTCTGCTTATTTTATAGATGTTAGAATCTTCTATTGAAAAAGGTTACAGGGCTGGTGGGAGGGGCTAAAACAATGCTGAGCAGGCTGTAGGTTGTGCTCCTACTGACATTTATGGAAGTAGAATGTGAGAAACATGAGTGCTTAAGTATGAGAAAAGACATTAATTCACTGCCAAATCCTTCTTCCAGCAGAGCAAGAATACAGCTGATTCTTGCATAACGAAGAACTGGTTCCTGATAGTGCCAAATGCCCATTTTCTTGCTTTTCTTTGCATTCCAACTTGTGGCTTTGCAAGTACCAGCAGCTACAATAGCTGCACATGTGACGGAGGAAAACTGTGTAGTTCTACGTGATTCATATTATTCTTTAATTTGTACACATGTAAATCTAGACACAAACTGCATAAACATAATATGGATTCTACCATGGTAGAAGGCAAGTAAACACTAGAATTGACTATGTTTATAAAAAATTTAATAAGATTCAATTATTAAAAAATAATTTCACCATTATTAAAATATTTTAAGATTAATGTTCATTAATAATTTGTATTTTAGCTTACTCTTAAGAGAATTTTAGTATTTCAAAAAATTTTTAAAGAAAAATTTTTATACTTTTTCATGTTTTTATGAAAATATTCTCAAATTAGATTTTGAAAACAATTACATCTTGTTTTAATCTTTAACTCATACTGTCCAGAGAACACAAAAGTTTTGATTATAACATATTGATGATTTATCCAAAATTAAAAATTATGGCATATATAACGTCTGATTTATGTAGATTGAGATTTTATTCCTTATCCAAAATTCACCAATCCATCACCAAAGATTCAGTTAATCTTTGATACCGTGCCAACATTCACTCATAAAAACAATAGCTCTACACATACTTGTCTATTTTATTGCATTGAAGGTATATTTGTAAAACTGAAGACTAGAACATTTTATTTCACATTTGAAAACTGATTAAAAAGTCTGAATACTTAAAATATATTTTAGGGACATCAATTTGTACTCTCTTCCCAGGACAACTGTGGGGGCAGGCATGCCTACGACCTTGCGCTTTTCCGCCTCCACAACTGAAACAATTTGGATGTGAATCTAAAACATAATTTACGAAGTACTCTGAAACATGAAATACAGCAAAAATTACTTACGGCCAAGTGGCACAAAAATGCTAACAAGACGGTGTAGTTCCCAGACTACTTTGCTGCAAGATATCAGCCCAGGACAACTGATTAGTATCCACGCAGGCCGAGCGGACAGTGAGGAAACGAACAAGCCAGGGACCCCCCCCCCCAGGGACCCCTTCCCCCCCGCGCCAAGGCTGAAGCATCCTGGCCTCCAGAGAGCCAGACACTCAGTACCAGTGATTAAACAAGCCTGACATTTGCCACCGAGGTTACGCTGACTAGGAGGAAACAAAAGGGATACACTCAACCACCTGCACGAGTGACCCGCCCCCCACATCCGCCCTAAGTACCACGCAGGGGAGGGGGCAGCCCGCACGAGGGACGCTTTCCACGGAGTGTGGGGCTGAGGTCTAAGCAGGCTCTGAACCCGGTCCACTTAACGGTAAAACCCAGAACCAGCGAGGTGGTGAACGCGAGCACGCAGGCGGAGGGGAGGACTGAGGTTCTGGAAGCCACCAGACGACTCGAGACGGGGGGGGCGCGTCCTTGCCCCGCAAAGCTGAACCGACACTGGCAGCCCCGGATCAATACCCGGCCGCTCACAGGCACACATGCAAAGGAGCGGCAGGGACGGGACGACGGGCGGGCGGCCGGGGGCCGGGCCGGGAGAACGGGGGCCGGGGAAACGGAGGACTGGAGGGCGGCGGAATGGAGGGACGGGGTCTGGGCGCCTGGAGGACGGGAAGGGAGCCAGCACCACCCTCTCTGAAATGCTAACCCCAGCAATGTCGCCGAACACCCGTGACGGCATCCCCATGGCGACCGGCACGCGCACCCATTTTATCATGAGGACGGGCAGCGCTCCAGGGCACGGAAGGCCGGGGAGCGGCGCACCGGGGCCCACGGCCAGCACCCCCGCAGGTGGAAGCGCTGACCGGCCCCGCCCAGCACCCCGGTGGGAACCGCGGACAAGCCGGCTGCGCCGGAGGCCAGGCCCCCACTCTGGCCAGCGGCGGCCGGCACGCCCCCGGCACGCCCCCGCCGGCCCCCGCCGGCCTCCACCGACTGGCGAGGTCCGGCCCCAGCCCCGCCCAGCTCCTCCCGGCCCCGCCCCCGCCCAGCTCCGCCCCCAACTCCACCCCGCGATCTGCACGAGGCCCGCACGGCCCGCCCGCCTGGGGTCCTCCTCTCAGCCGCCGCCGCGCCGCCCGGCCGTTTTCACAACGGCTACGCCTCAACCGTCAGGGGACTGGCCGCCCGCCCGCCGCCGCCTGAGGCCGGCCCGGCGCCACGGGCCCTCTCCAAACAGCCGCGCCATCAGGGAGGCCCGCCCCGGCACCCTGCTCAACCTGTGCCTGGAGAAAGCCTCCAGGTCGCGCCCAGGGAGCCGCCGCCACCGCCGCCGCCCCGCGGAGCGTCTCCGACCTCAGCGACCGCCTCAGCTCCTCACCTCAGGCGGCCGACGGAAAGCGGGAAGCGCCTACCCAATCGGCGCCGCGTGCGTGCGTAACCCCGTCCAATCAGCGCGGCGCGCAGGCCAGGCTCCGCCCCTCGTACCCGTGAGCGGCGCTGGGGTCGCCTGAGGCCGGAACCAGGGGCGCTATGGGGGCCTTGGCTCCTGGCCATCGGGGTAGGTGGGCTGCCGCGCGGAGGCCGCGACCCCCCCCCTGCCCTCCCGCGGTGCGCACCCGCCCCAGGAGCCCTGACTTGCCTCTACAGGACGCCGGTCCGCCAGGGAGAGTCCCGGGCTACCCACCACCACGCTGGCCGTTGACGGCGGGACGGGGCCGTAGAGCCTCGGGGGTACCAGCCGAACCTGCGAGGGGGCGGGGGTCCGACTCCCTGGAAGGAACACACGCTGTGGCCCGCGGAGGACCACGGAGCCTGGCCACGCAGGTCCCCACTGACCCTCGAGCCCTGCCCTCTGTGGCCTGACTCACCAGGCCGGCCGCCTGCCCCACCTGGCCACGCCCCCGAGGGCCACGCCCCCGGCGCCACGCCCTCACCGTCATTTCGTAGAAGCCGGAGGTGGCGGGCCCTGTGGTCCTCATTAGCCAAACCGCAGACCCCGAGCAGCACCCGGCTGAAGCCGTCTGGGGGTGGTGCCGAGCAGTCATGAACAGTATATTTCCAGGCGGTTTGGAGCATTCCCATTTGAAATTTAAATAAGATCAGTGGATGCTTGTTGTTTAAAACATGCATGGATACACAGATACAGCAGACCAGCCCTTCAAAATTTAAAGTACTGATTTCTCATCTTGCCACTTTTTAGTAGAGAGGAAAAAAATATTTGCCCCTTCTATTGTTTCGTGCGTCTGGAAAGCATAAGGATTGTTTAGTAATACCACATGGAAGATCAAAGCTGGTCACTTAATCTTATTAGAATTGTTCTTAAATAGATCCTTAAGAGTGTGGAAGTAGATGGAAAAACCTCATCCATTAATCATAATTGGGCTTTCAATTAAATTTAACAAGCACTTACTGGGAACACCCCATCACAGGGCAGAGCAGGTATAGGTTTGAATGTTGACTTTGCAGCTTACCAGCTGTGGGTCTTTTGAAAAATTAGGCCTCTCTGAGCTTCATTCTGGCGGCTAAGAAAATAGGGACATTATCTACCAGGTAATTTTCAGAGTTAAATGAAATCAAGTATGTGCAGTAGCTATCACTGTGGGCAAGCCAGTGAGAATGAGTGCACGATAAAGGTCGGTTTCCTTCCCGTGGGTGCAAGGCTCTGTACTGGGTGAGGGAAGCCAGGGGGATGCAGCTAAACACTCCTCACTCCATACGCAGGAATCAGTAAGCATTGAAAGAGAATAACTATCCTGTAGTCTACATTCCCCTAGAGCTTTCTTCCTGTGCTAGCATCGACCTGGCATAAAGACTGTATTTCTGTTTCTCAAAGACATACACAACTGTGCTGAAGCTGAGGTACAATCACACAATTCTTTTTCGACAAGGCCCTACATTTGATAGTGCTTTCGGAAGGATAAGACTTAATGTATGACACAATTTAAACAATCAGGAAGTTTCTCAAGTCTTGTGTCTATCATTAGATGGCAAGAAAAACACTCTTCAGATAACAATGTATGCATATACTTTAATATTTAGGCTTGAGTGAAATCATCTTAATGACATTAAAATATGTTTGGGGATACAACCCCACCATTGCACAATCCACTGCAAAATGTTAACATCTAAGCAACATAACTGTGTTAAGGTCTGAAAGTTCTCCTTAAGCTGAACTTTAACAACTTCTGTATCAACTAGGCAGGACTATTTAAGGTTCTGAATGTTTACATGTTGATTTTTTTAAAGGCACGTTGAGGTTCTCTTAATATCGAAGATAAAACATGTACTTTATATTCCATGACCAGAATCTTTTTGGCAAGTGACTGTCTCATGGATAAAATTCTTACATGCCTTTACACAACAATACATTTGGCAGCTCTGACTCTTACACCTGAATGCTCTGGACAATGGTCTTGCATTCTGGGCTGGGGCCAAGGACATAGCAGCCAAGGCTCTCACAGGCCTGCTGACCTAATTGGACAGTTTATTAAACAGCAGGAAATGGAACCAGCCTTCCATCCCTCTTGCATATCAATGTAGTGCACAGTGCTAATAGCCAAAGCTTGTTCACTTTAATTACAATGCCTTAAATCAAAATTCAGTGTTGTTATCATCAAAAGGTGCCAAAGAAAGCCATCCCTCTTGTTGGAATTTTAGAAACCCAGAGGTTGCAATAATAAAAAGAAGTTGGTTGAGAGGCAAAAACACATCTTTCACTTATTGATTTGACAAATGTCAAAAAGTATTCAAAAATTTAGAGTGGCTTTATTGGTGACAGCTACCAGAGATTAATCCCACTGGTTTCAGCTGTATCAGAACCAAACATCACAAGCTGGAAGGCCTGTTTGTCTTGGTTGGGTCTTCACACCTCACTGCTGGCACCTGCTGTCAGAGACCGCCACTCAGCACCAAAAGAAATGATCGGCGCCTTGCTGGGAAATGTAAGTCACTGTGGCATTCAGCAGGGGACAATGGCTTTGACTTCTTGGTTGGAGATTTAAAAAAGAAGAAGAAAAAAAAAGCATTTAACAGTTTAAAAACTGGGGTGAAAAGCCCAGACAATGTTAGAAACTCTAACTGAAGGCACAAAGAATAAAGTTGGCAGGTGGCTGATAAAACCGGGCATATACAAACACAATTTAAAACGATTAAAAAGTGTATTTGTGATTTTTTTTTTCCTCTAGGCTCTGGCTATTGATGAAAACACCTTCCAGTTCCACTTGGTAACCCAACTTCTGCAAGATGACCCTGGGGATTTTCTGACACTTAAGCAGACATAAAAAAGAGTCATCTTAATCATCAAAAAGGTAATTGCAAAGGGCACTGTTGTCTGAAATTACGCTATAGAGCCGCCTGGAAATTGAGATAACTTAAGGCAGAATTCCTTCAAATGTTTAGGTAGTCTCAAACCTAAACAGAATGGCCTGATAACATGCGGATACAGAGAACTGTCAAACGTGAAGAAGGGAAACTCACTCACGAAGTGAGAAAAGAGACGCGAAGAGAAGGGGCTGTTTTGCTAGTTTAAAAGTTAAGCTTTTTCCTGTTCCCTGGCTCTTGACGTAGGAGACACACGGCCTAACCAGGGCAGCCTGAACTCCAAGGAATGATTGTATGATGACTGATGAGGCATAAATTTCCTGCCTATTAATAGTTTCCCACTGTTAGAGGTCTACAGCCTTTGGCAAGCAAGTCTAGTGTCAGGTTTTCCTTGTCCCGGGGCAGAAATGCCTCAAGGAACCACGGTGGGAGTCACACCTTACATTCTGTTTACAATGGGCACAAACACAAGACTGACTTCTTCTTTAGCTTGTTAAATCCAGAATGTTCCTGAGAAGGCATCCAGTAAGGGTAAAATGTTCCAACATCACAATGATAATAAATAACAGCTACGTTTACAGAGACCCACTCAGGACACATGCACAAGCCACAGGCCTTTCCAACCAACACACCGACCGGCCCTCCCTGGACCCTTGCCAGACGGGCCAACACTGCCATGCATCGAACCCCCCCCCTCTCCCGGCGCATGACACGACTCGGCCTTCTGGCCACCTGAGGCTACTTCTGAGACCCAGCGACACAGGCGGTTCAAGTAGAAGATGGAAAGGGCCACTTCCCCGGGATCCGGCAGCGGGAAGGGAGGCCAGAAGCCTCCGGCAGGGGTGGGGGGGGGGTGAGTAAAGGTCGCCGCGGGCGCAGAGTGCCCCGCGCGGGAGGCACCGCGGGGCGGCCTCCGAGGGGGCGCGCTCAGATGAAGTGGATCCAGCTCTCTTCGCACTCCCCGCGAGGCATGTGCAGCGCGTGGTTGCGGCACGTGAGGCTGTAGTCTCGGCCGTGGTTGTTGTCCCAGTACTCGGCGCCGGCCACTCGGTAGCGGAGCGCGAAGTGCACGCGCGAGCCGAGCGCCAGCAGGAAGGGCGGCACCGGGAAGCCGAAGGCGAAGACATCCTCTGTGCCCGCCGCGCCCGCGGGCCCGCGCCACCTGGCCGCCGCCTCGTGCGCGTTGCGCCAGTCTGAGAAGGTGTAGCGCACCGCCACCTGCTTCTCGAAGGCCACGTTGCGCACGCGCACCGTTCCGCTGATGCCCAGGTCCGAGCAGGTGACGCGCTCCAGGCAGACGAGCTGCCGCCCCAGGCGCTCGCCGAAGTCCGCGGCCTCGACGGGCGGCGAGAAGTCGGGCACCAGGCACTGCAGGGTGAACTCCAGGTCCTGGCTGCTGCAGCACAGGTCCGAGTTGATGGCGAGGCGCGACAGCACGTGCAGCGGCACCGACGGGTCTTCGCCCGCGTTGAACACCTTGACCTGCGCCAGCTCCAGGCCCAGCGCGTCGGCGAAGCGCACGCGGAGCTGGCGGCTGCAGCCCGGCCGGCAGGCGGCTCCCGGCGCGCCCCCGGCCTTCTGGCGGCGCTCGGGCGAGCTGGGCAGCGAGCGCGCCCGCCGCAGGATGATGGGCCGGAGCGGAGGGTCGCAGCCGGACGGCTCCGCCGGCGGCGGCGGCGCGCGGCCCGGGCTCCCGGGGGGCCTGCAGGGCCGTGTCCCCGGGGCCGCGCCGCCGTCCAGGTCTGAGAGGCAGCTGAGGCTCCGCGGGGCGGGCTTCCGGGACCCCGGGGGCGGCGCCGCCGAGCCGGGACCTCCGGACATGGCCCGGCCGGCCGTCGGTCGACGGGGAGGCGGTACCGAGGGGCGGCCTCCGGACCCCGCGCCCGCTACCTCGGGGTCCCCGCCGGGCCGGAACGGCAGCGTCCACGCAGCCTCCGGGGCAGGCTGCGCGCTCCCCGCGCCCGCCACCGCGTCCCCACCTACCCCCCGAGTCCTGGCGCGGCTCTTCCGCCTCCTCCGGCCGCGAGAAAGGAGCTCGTCTGCGGAGACAGGAGTGCTTCTGCTCCGGGGGAGAGGAGGCTTTTCCGGGCGCCCCCGGAGGCGCAGGGTGGCGCCTCCCTTTGGCCGCCGCGGAGCTTCCCGGCGGGGAAGACTGCGTCGGTGGAGCCGCCCCTCCCACCTTCCCCGCCCGCTGCGTTACTTACATGGCTGCAACTTGTCGGGGCGCAACTTCCCGGCGAGCCTGCGCCCCGCCCCTCGTGACGCCGCCGCGCGCCCGCCCCGCCGGTGGGGCGCAGCCCCGGAGCCCGCCGCGCCGCCGCCACCCCGGCCCTGCCGCAGCGCGCCGCAGCCCGGCCTCCGCGCCCGGCCCCGGGAAGGCCGGCGGGCGGCCGCGTCCCGTGTCCTCGGCGACCGCGGAGCAGGTCTGATCCGTTTCTGTCTGCGTCTGCCCGGCCGCTGCGCCGATCCACCGTAGATCTGTGTCTGCACAAGCGGAGGACGGGGAAAATGCATGCGGCGGGCCCTGGGATTTCTGGGGTACGGGGGGTGGGGTGGGGGTGAACGCAAAACAGGGGCCTCTCCGGGAGCTGGTTCCCGGGCCACGCCGAAGTCCCTGGGCTAGCCAGCTCTTTGGACGTGTGCACTGCAACCTGGAACCCCGGCCAGACCCAGGGAGCCCCGCTGCGTAGAGGACAGGCGACCCGACCACACGTCACCCACAATGCTTTGCCGCCCGGACCGCCAGCCTGTTAGTTCCCTGGAGGGTGGGGAGGGGGCGGCGCTGCTGCCTCTCCGTCTCCTGGCCCCTAGCCCGAGAGGAAGAGGTGGGAAGAGAGTTCATGCCTCGTGATGAACTATGCAGCTGCCCGGAGTCAGCCCCGGGCGCTGGGGACCAGTTTTGTAGGCAGAGCCTCAGACTTTCGCTTTGTGGCAGTGCAGCGCATCAGGGACAGCGGCAGCCTGCCTTCTGCACCCGAGGACCCCACGAGCCTTCCTTTCCGCTGCCACTCAGGAACTTGCCCAGAAAACGCTGCCGCTTAAGGCGCAGAGCGTGCCAGGTGTGGGAAGACGTGGGAGCTCACGTTCCAGACAGCAGTTTGGGGCCAGGCATTGTAGAGGGTCCCTTTTCACCGCCCAGAGGGACAGAGCAGAAGGAAGCCCCGACTATTGAAGGAGAGGTGGTAAAAGAAAGCACCCTTTCTACGTCGCAGATGAATCAAGCCTGTTGACTCTGGTAGAAGTCATTAATCGCGAGAGGCAGAAAAGGCACGCATGCTTATGAAAAGAACACACAGCGTTTCAGGAGGAAAAAGAGTCTTCTATAATCTCACCTTTTTTCTATTTTACGGAGGCAGGGGATATTATGGAAGAAAGTATTCATTCACTTTCCAATCAGGGCGTCCTTAGTAGGCCACCCACTGAGAATCAGGGAAAACAGCATTCTTGATAGGAGTCACCAGACTTGCACGGAGATAACACCGGTGCGATAGGTATTACTATACTGACAATCTTTTACTGGATTGAGGTGATCGGGAAGGCAGGAAGATTCAAGAGGAGCTTCCCCGTAAGTTTTAGTTCTGTGAGAGCAGGGATATGTGCATTTTCTAGGCTCTCCTGTAATTACTTGTTGAATGAATGAATGAGTGGACATGGGAAATGGAGTAATACCCCACAGATTTCCTGAAGGTGTTATTTCCAAGGAGACTCTGTGTATGTGAGGGGAGAGAGGAGGATTCCACTGGCAATGTTTATATCCACTGGCAATGTTTATAGTGCTCTGATTTTGCATCTGATATCCACCGTGAAAAACAAACAAGCAAAAAAGATGAAACTATAAACAGAAGGCAGTACCCTCCACCAACGTTTCAGTTCTATGCAAATAAATATTTCAGAACAAACAAGTGAAAACCAGCCCAGTACTGGGGGCAGGGCCGTTTGCAGTCCATACTTACCTACCATGTTCTGTTGCTAATAGTTCCGGTGGCCTGGAGGAGTCCTTTCCAAATATAAGAGGAATAAAGAAGCCACTTCCCCAGCTGTCATCATCTGCCAACAGATTGGGCAAGAATATTTCCAGCACCACAGAGAAGGTGATGTAATTTTGAGAGGAAATCTTACTTAGATTTGCTGTGCTGTTTTGTTTGGGGTGTGTGTGTGTGTCTGTGTTTTCATGGTATTTATGACTGCATGTCTGTTTTTTAGGCAGTCCATCAAACCCTAGATGATGATCAGCCGTGTGATTTTTTCAAGAAAGGGAATAGGGTGAATAAATGTCACCAGAAAAGCAGGTAAATAATTTTAATTGCTTTATCTTGCAAGTATCTTGCAGATGGCCCATTATATCAGTTCTCCAGATGGAATATGTGTGGCTGGAAAAAAAGTATGTCTGTGGATACAAAATACTTATGTTTTTGACCCATCAGAAATGAGTGGACAAAGTGGTTTTAAACAGTACTAGATAGTAAAAATTCCAGAGGCCATAATCCTGCCACTGTTAGCAGAATCTATAATTTTGGGTAAGCCCCTTAATCATCCTCCTTTGATGAGTTTTTAAATAAAAAGGATAATAAAAAGGATGCTGATAGTAAACCTTTATTGATATACACTGACAGAGTAAACAAAAGTTGTAACAGTATTGGTTATGAGTTCTATGTAATGATAATTCCTTTATCCATTTTTCCAACATATATTGAGCACACATTAGCTATTGGACCTGATTCAACACCCTCCGTATTTATTTTAAAAATAACACATTTTCAAATAATTGCTTAGTGTGGTAGAAACCACTGGACAGGTAACCTCTGAGCTTTCCAGAAAGCATGTTTACCACCCACTTTCTTTTGCCCTACCTGCCTTAATGTTCCTGAGAAGTTTTAGGAATCCTCGTGGGACGCTATGTGCTGAGTAAAAAGAAAAGAAGGTATTTTCCACTCTGATATGAGATCCTGCCGGGGAGTAAATCACTTCCGGGGAAATCATAGCCATGCTAGGGACATACACAGAGTTCATCATTCCCATCTCCCGCCATTCACAAGATAGCATGAATCCTGTCTTTTTCATTCATATGGTGTTTTAAGGCACCATGTGATTTTTCTCCTTTCTCATTTTAAACAGTTTTCCTGAGTGCACTTCCTATTTGAAAACACTCGAATAAGCTTTTGATGTGAGGTACAGGTTGTATATGCTACACTTTTTCATGTTAAGATTTTATTTATTTATTTTCCGGGGCACCTGGGTGGCTTAGTTGGTTGAGTGTTGGACTTCAGCTCAGGTCATGATGTCACGGTTTGTGAGTTCAAGCCCCCCTGTCTGGGGCTCTCAGGCTCTCTGCTGTCAGCACAGAGTCTGCTTTGAGTCCTCTGTCCCCCTTCCTCGCTGACCCTCCCCTACTCGCTTTCTCTCATCTCAAAGATAAATAAAGCCATTTTTTAAAAAGATTTTATTATTTATTTATTTTGAGAGACAGAGAGTGCAAGGTAGGGGAGATGCAAAGGAAGAGAGAGAATCTCAAGCAGACTCCACGCTGCAGGGCTCAATCCCACAGCCCTGGGATCATGACCTGAGCTGAAATCATGAGTGGCTTGCTCAACTGACTGAGCCCCCTAGGCGCCCCTTTCACGCTAAGATTTTAGGTGGCCCAGGATCACCACCAGCCAGTGACTAAGTTCTATACAACTTGCATTTTACCCCTTGTTTACTTTTCGTTGAAAAAAGGCTTGTCAAAGAACGCTGTGGCTCTTACTTGTCAGTGTCATTAAACACTGTTCATCATTAACAGAACAGATTGAGAGTTTACGACAGATTTTCTCCAAACTGGTGTTATTGTTGATGTTGTTGTTTTACATACACATGACTGATCTAAAATTATAAGCACGTTCAGAACTGTCAGTGTTTTTCATAAGGGACGGTGTCTGGTATCAGACAGAATCGCGCATCCCCTCTGGGCACCCGAAACGGCCCTTGAGTGGCGGCCCGTGTGGCCACTTGCTCTGTGAGCACCGCGGCTGGGCAAGGGCCGAGCAGGCCTTCCCGGGGACGGCGAATTCCCCGGATTCTTGTTTGCTGAATCAGCGGCAGGTAGATCTTGTCCAGTGAACTAAGAGTGACGGTTTTATGTCTCACAGCGACATGAATGCTGGCTCGGCTTGGACTAAAGCACAACGTTCAAAACCCTCTTCAGGAAAAAGGCAGAGTAAACCGCAGGCGCCCGCAGTGCCCTCCCAGCTGCCGGGGGACGCACGCCGAGAAAGCGCTTCCCCGGAAGGCAGACCCAAAAGGAGCCCCCTGGACCCCAGGTGTCGGGGCGCCTCGGGGAGCGAGCTGTTTCTCGACCTCCAGCGCGTGAAAGTCATGAAGGCGGACGAGGACGAGGACAGCGCCAGCGACCTGTCGGACTCGGAGAGAGTGGCCGAGCCGCCGCCGCCTGCGCTCGCGCCCCCCGAGCTGCGCCTGCGCGCCGAGGAGACGGACGCCGCCGACCCGGGCCTGGACCCGGACCCCGGCGCGGACCCGCGCGGCGCGCAGCCCACCTACCGCTACGCGGACTTCCTGCCCGCGCCGTTCAGCTCCTGGGACCTCCGCGACCTGGCCGTGCCTCCCGGCGCCGAGCCCAGGCCAGCGGCCCAGGGCGGCGCGGCGGGGCCGCTGGCCAGGTACGTCGCCAGGCTGCTGCAGCTGGAGTGGCTGCAGATGCAGACCGTCCGGAGCGAGAAGGGGAAGGGCGCCAGGGCCCGGCCGCTCACCGCCCCCGGCGCGGCCGGGGCCCCGAAGAGCCCGGGCGGAAGCAGCGGGGCGGCCGGCGCTCCGGCGAGGCCTCACCAGGAGGGGCCTCCCAAGCCAGGCGCTTCCCGAAGGAGAGAGCTGCAGCGCGAGGAAGCCCGGCCGTCCTACTACGCCTTCGACACCCGCCCCAAAGCTCTCCACGTGGGGCGCAGCCGCGGACCGAGTTCTCAGAAGCCAGCCCTCGAGGACAGGACAGAGGAGCAGAAAAAGAAATGGAGTAAGAGCCCCAGGCTGCAGCGCCGGGACCCGCCGCGCGGTGACAGCCGCCCCAGCGCTGGCGTCTGTGGAGGTGGAGGTGGCACTTCCACGCAGGGGGCGACGGTCAGGGACTCCTGCGGGGCCCCCATCCCGCCCGCTCCCGGGAGCCTGAAGAAGAAGGGCAGTGGCACCTGCTCTCAGGCCACCACGACCAGTGAGAAGAAACTCAAAACCAATGGAGTGAAGCCGAGCACATGCAGATTCAAGTAGTAACTGACGTGGTGAATTGCAAAGACCCCGGGCACCTAAACGTGAGTGCTCTTGCACAAGTCACAATACTGTGAATTTTAGGACGTTTTATGATGACTGACCTGTAAGTCGTTGACTGGCCCTTTAAGTGCATCCCCACCCCTCACCGCTGCCACACTGGGCTTCTTTCCAAAGAAAGGCGTCTTTCCATAAACCCTCCTTTGTCCTGACCGCCTCAAGCAAATGAGAGCCCTTTAGATAAAATTTTAACCAAGGTCTGTGCCATATGAAGGGAGGAGTGGCCAGCGGCACAGGGCAGGCGGCACCGTCCGCTCCCCGCCCGCAGCGTGCCTAGTGCGGAGTGCATACTGTTCTGCACCGCGTGGCATCTGGACCATCTGAAATCAAGTTCTTGGGGTCCTCCTCTAAGCCGTCCAAAGAGAAGTTCTGTCTGCTTCACCCCTAGGAGAAGCTTCAGCTCTTTCTCAAGTCAGGAAGCGTCTCTTTGGGGCAAAGTCATTTACCCCTAAGCTGCTTGCTCTTTCCAGACCGTGGGATCCAGTACATTCGTTTCCTGAAGGTGGTTCAAAGGTCGAGGTGGTGGTGAAGGCCACCTTCGGAGTCTTTGTATTTGGGGTTAAAGTCGTGTACAACCTGTGCTATAGGTTACGCGTCTCAGCAGGTCTGCTACCGTTCGGTGGGAGGTAAACAGGAAAGTTTTGGCAGCCAAGTGTTTTCGGCATGAATGGCTTCTGGAAGAAGGTTCCCTGGGAAAACCACGTTTTCGAGTTCATACATCAAAGGGCTACAGTTCGTACATCAAAGGCCTACAGTCAGACACACGCGGAGCCACACATGACTGTCACTGTCCTTCCATTACAGATCTGAGAGCTAGATATGCTGTCGTCTGTAGCCAACGTAAGGGTCTGGTTTACTTTCAAAGAGCAGGACTCCATCACCTTGCTTCGGGGCAGAGGAGTGAGGACACATTGCGGGATGGGGGGGGTGGAATAGGAATCGTAGGGGTCACGGAGTGCCCTTGGCTCCAGCCTAGATGCTTCTTATCTATTACCGTTAAGTGAGGCCTGCCTGTCCGTGCAGTTGGGCAGACGCCTCTGTTGATACTGTGAATATCTGTAGAATCTTCGGTCAGCTGCTGGGTATCAGTATGTTTCAGTGACTGTAGCTGATTTTGTGTCTTTAAATGCTCGCTCTCTTTGCTTTCATACACATTGGTTTTGATTTTTTCACCTCTGGGGCAAACTAAAAAGGTGGCTGTTTTCATTTGAAAACGCATGTGGCCTGCAGGCTCCGCGGAGCAGCCAGTGTGTCCCAGATGCTTCCAGTTAACAGCAGAAGGACAAGATGCATTTGCAAATAATGACAGTAACGGGCAAAAGGTCAATATTAAGGTCCCATTTTAAAATCCGACTTTAATAATATTAAACAACATACACTCCTTGTCATGGTTGGTTTTTTTCTTCCAAGACTTTATTTCCGGATTTTCACAGATTCCCTCTCAGAGTCTTATCTTTCACACCACCCTACGGGAGAAAGCACACTCCCAACACTAAGATCTCGTACCTTTGGACGCGAACAAAGACGCGTATCCAGTGGGCATCCCTTCCTGAGTTCTCAGTGATGCTGTAGCTTCTACACTCGGTGTCTGTCTTGCAGTCTGGAAACAGTGCTCTTCCGACCTCACCTTTCTGTGCTTCCTGAGTGGCACCCGTGTGTCCTGTGGCCGCCCTGCTCCTTGTGAAGGCAGATGGACTCATCCTTTATACACGGCTGGCGCCGCACCTCATTCACGAGCCTTTCTCTGCTCAGATTTTTACGCAGCTCTTGATAACGTTTCAGGGCCGGTGACTCTCTGTAAGCACATTATACACGTGTACATACTCCTGGCGCTAGTACTGCGGGCTTCAGGCTGAGCCGCCGCCGTCTCTGGTCATGCTCTCCTGCGTATTCTTGGACACCCCCAGGGTGAGAGTCCCTGGCTTCTTTGCCTTGCGCGTGTCGGAGCCGAGGACCATTGTGATTAAGAAATTTACAGGTGGTGCCTGAGAGGTTGCATTCCTTGCTCTTTGAGTTGAGGTTGGTCGCCTAATTTGAGGGATAGTTATAATGTCACATGTTAAGACCATTTTAAAAGCCTGTGAAAGTGACTTTGCCTGTTTACGTTTTTGCCTCCGGTCGATGCTCTATTTTCACCAGTATTCTCACAACGGGATCGGAGCGCCCGAGGAACCGTGTGGGTTCACTACAGAACATAAGCACAGTTTGAATTCCGTGTTTTCTGATACACATCCCCATCACAGCCCCCTTTTGTAAATGCTGCGGATGGGAGTGTGGCCATTTTCACACAGACGGCGCTGGCACGTGGGAGTCGGGATCTCCTCTGGCTGGTCAGGTCTGAGCCACCGAGTGCCCTGCTAGTCTGGGGACGTGAGTCATCCATTCAGTATTCAGAGAAGTGCCTCTTCTGGGGAATTGTTTACATCCATGTTGTGTTTAAACCAATTAAAATAATCCAAGGTAAAAAAAAAAGCAAAAGCATAGGGAATGTAAGAAGAGTTAATTACTTCAGGCTTAGAACCAATGGGAAAACGTAAAGACATACAAACACAGACTGCAAAATTATATCAGTATTAGCTGCAATTATTTAGACTGAGACTGTTTCTCAAATCTCTCATGGCTAGACTGGCCAAAGTTGTGTAAGTGACCTGTGGGGCGGGGTGGGTGCCCCGTGTCAGCAAAGATCGGGGGATGTCGTTGATCTTATGGCAGCTATGGGCTAAGGGGGAGGAAGGCTTGGAGTGGTTCTTAAGCTATTAGGTTAGTTTCCAGACAGACGAACAACCTTTACCTTTCGTGATTTAAATACTGCCTAAATCCCCTTATGCTCACTTACTTGAATAGTTAAAAATATGAAACGAAATGGTACTGGATTTCAAGGTAACAGAGAAGCAGGGTTTTTTATGTATTCATGTGCACGTACAGAGCTCCGTTTCAAATGGTCTGACTCTGGTGGGCATGTTTGTTATTTGCTGTTATAATTATTGTATGCTTGGTTTTGTACATAATAAAACAGAACGTGTATAAGTTTTTGTGAATCCGGACTTCTCCTTCCTTGAGATCAATTAAACAGTAGGAAGTATTGTCTGCAGTTTTTGGATGTGGTTTTGTTTTGCTTTTTCTCTTCCTGATTGTCTTTCCTCCCTGGTCACCTCACAGAACCACTCGGGAGGGGATTCTGCCCCAATCCTTTCTTAATACTGAGCAACGTACTAGTACTGGACGCACCTGCGAACCACCACTGGTACTGCTCTGGAGTCCCTCTTCCTCTTACGCCCCAGAAGGTGCTGATCGCCTGGGGAACCAGGACGGAAATCCAGTAAAAGTGAAGTGACACGTGACGGAAGGGGCTCACGCGTTAACTCACACATCCAGGACAGAGCACCGGCCGTCCCGAGGAGGGCACCTGGGTGCCGCATACACTCTGAAAGGCCCTTTTCTCCTTCTTCTAAACTCACGTCTGGCAAGCAGATGCATTCTCCTGAGTCTACCAAATAGCGGCGGCTTAAAAAATAATTCTGGGAGTGTTAAAAACAATTTCAACCGAGAAAATTTTATAGCTCTTCCTGGCTTTATTTAACGATATGTGAGTCAGGCAGCCTCCCATATGGAAAGGAGCCCCAGGGGATGTGCAAAAGGGAAAGGACGTTTTTAGGCAGAAGGGAGCCGGTACGAGGAAGTTGTACAAGGTCACTTTCGCTTCTGGGGTGGCCAAGGTCTTACCGGGCGGACAGCCTCACTAGTGCTGATCACATGACTCCTGACTGTCCCCGTTTAAGATCCTGCCCTGGGAGAGCCCACATGGAGTAAAGCTGGGTTCGGTGACTGGCCGATGGTCTTGTTATCAGGGGGCTTAAAAATAAAATATTTTGGTAGTTTGAAAATGAACCATGTTGGAAGTTTTAAGCGCTACATTTGTACATAAGGTGGTAGATTGTTCTTGGATGGGACTGTGTTATCATCCAAGAGGTGGCACCTTAACCTCCGGACCCAACCTAAAACCACCTCAGTCTACTTGTCTCCCCATCTGATTGCCTTTACACCTTAAAGCAACTATACCAAGTTTTATATAATGCTCGGTGAAATAACGTAGAGGAGTAATTTGTTAAAATATTCACAGAGATCCTGTTTCAAAAAATAGGACTTCAAATAGCCCTGTCCCCAGCAATTTGATATTTAAGGAATTAGCTCTGATAACACTGGGAAAATATAAAAAATAGAACAGTCATGAACACAGTTGTCCTCGCTTGGATGGTACATTAGAGGAAACCAATGTACATTTCTCTGTAGGTTACATTCAGCCCCTGTGGCTTCAAGCCGGTGCTGCGCAAACCGTGAGCCTCTCCTCACACCTGCTGAATGTGAAGGGGTTCAGCACACGCCACCCCAAAACGTGACAGTCTGGCATCCTGACTGCCTCGAGTCAAAGGCACTTGAGAAACAGCAAATCGAAGGAAAAGACTCTCACCTTCCATTTTCTTCAAAGAGGAGATGAAATTCCTAGATGAAAGACCTCCTCCCTACACCAGAAAGGAAGTAACCTGCTTATCATCAGGGATGAGAAGTTGAGGCTGAGAGAAAGCTACACACATTTTGTTTGTTAAAATGACCCTTATCTGGGGCTCCTGGGTGGCTCAGTCGGTTAAGCGTCCGACTTCGGCTCAGGTCATGATCTCTCGGTTCGTGGGTTCGAGCCCCGCGTCGGGCTCTGTGTTGACAGCTCAGAGCCTGGAGCCTGCTTCAGATTCTGTGTCTCCCTCTCTGTCCCTCCCCCGCTTGCCCTCTGTGTCTGTCTGTCTGTCTCTCTCTCAAAGATAAATAAACATTAAAAATTTTTTTTTAATAAAATGACCCTTATGTTCCTTAGTCTCCTCATATGGTTTCCTACCATTGCCTCTGTCCAATCTACTACCAAAGCAGGTAACTGTGGCCATTTCTTTGGGTGTCCATTCCTTAGGAAGTCTGTGTCACATAAAACTCCACAATTTACCTGCTTTTGTCCCTCTGATCTGTCTTATGTCAACTTAATCCTCAGGACCAGCCAAAAAGAACCCTAAGAGGGTACAGAGAAGCTGAGTTTGCCATCCCAAAATACCCCTCGTTCACATAGGGATTATTTCAGGCTGATTTTATTTAAGAAACAGCATACACAGAGGAAAAGCTCTGAAAACTGAGCAGAAGTTACCCTTTTGTAAAAGACACGCGGGGGAGGGCGCCATCTGTAAGGCTGCCTCCCTTTGGTACCAGGAAGAAGATGAGGAAATCTCTAGGAACACTTATCAACTCTTATCTCATTAAGGCCTGGACTTAAATCTGCAAAACAACCACAACCATTTATTATACTTTTCCTAGTAACTTCACAGAAGTGGCTCCCCACCCCCACGCTGGATATCTTCTGTGTTCAGCGGGAGGTGGTATTTAAGGTGGCAGCGCAAGCTCCCAGTCTGTGGGTTCGAGCCCCGCGTCGGGCCCTGTGCTGACAGCTCAGAGCCTGGAGCTGCTTCCGATTCTGTGTCTCCCTCTCTCTGCCCCTCCCCCGTTCACACTCTGTCTCTCTCTCCTTCAAAAATAAATGAACATTAAACAAAAATGTCTGCAAATTTGAAACGACTGCTTTGACCACGCACCCCCGGCTGGACTTCCTGCACTCTGGCCCAGCTAACAAGTGCTTCTGTTTATCTGTGTCCTATTTTCTCCAGAGCTTACGGGCACTGCTATCTCTCTGCCCAATAATAGGTCACTAAGTGGCTTGATTTATGGCCTCTGATAATCTGTGGGGCAAGCGAGTGATAAGCAACTCAGGGTTCTTGGAACACGTCCACGTTAAGCACATTTCCCTTACATTCATGCACCTTCTGCTTTTATTATTTTTTAAATTTTTTTAAAAGAGTGCGAACATTTTATTTCAGTTTTTTTTTTAAATGTTTTATTTATTTCTAGGAGAGAGAGAGAGAGACAGCGTGAGCAGGGGAGGGTCAGAGAGAGAGGGAGTCACAGACTGAAACAGGCTCCAGGCTCCGAGCTCGCAGTCAGCACAGAGCCCGACGCGGGGCTCGAACCCACGAACCGCGAGATCATGACCTGAGCGAAAGTCGGACGCTCAACCAACCAAGCCACCCAGGCGCCCCCATTTTATTTCAGTTTTATTTATTTTGAGAGAGAGACAGAACAAGCAAGGGAGGTGCGGAGGGAGAGAGGGAGAGAGAATCTCAAGCAGGCTCTCACCGTCCACACAGAGCTCGATGCGGGGCTCGAACTCACAGGCAGTGAGATCATGGCCTGAGCTGAAGTCAACAGTCAGATGCTCAACCGACTGAGCCACCCAGGTGCCCCTAGAATTGTCACTTGCCACTTCTCAGGCGTGAGAACCTCACCGTGCCCTCCGCTGGCCTTCCCGCCGCCTTCATCATGCCGGCTGCCAGCTTTACAAGAGTCACCACTGCCTGTCACCAAGCTTGGCCCCCAAACTCCTGTCTGGCAACATTCCCGCCCCCCGCACCGCAAGGGGAAAGAAAGGGAAGGCTTTGCTTTCGTCCTGTGTCGCTCAGCTTTCTAACTGCTGGAACGAAATGTTTTTTACTTATAGGTCTTACAGAATAATGAGATGAACAGTCTCCCAAGTTTAGCTGAAGATGTTCTAATTAAGGAACTATGTTTTTTTTCCCCTCAACAGGACAGTTTTGATGTGGGAGGAGACATGAAATAGCCCCAACTTTCTCTCTCTATCTCTTTCTCTCTCTCCTCTTTCCTGAAAAAGCATAAAAATATTTATATACATAAATCACTGAAAAAGAAAAGAGCTTGGTATGTCTACTATCAGTATAATTAGTATAAAATATACTTGCAAAAAGCGAGAAACAATTCAATCTGTTATATTTGGCAGCGTTTCTAACCACTCCCCACCCTTTCATCTATAACCACTGGTTGAACAAATCAGGGCAAGAGATGAAAATTTCTCCAAGGGAATGTTCTGGCCGCAGCTCTTGGTGGCTGACAAAATACTAAAACATAAGGACCACACTTTCTCATCAGCCTGTGCGACTATGAAAGCATCAACATAGAACAGATAAAAATGTCTCAGTCCCTTACAGCAGACCAGGAAATACAAATGACCAATTATTTTATTCTCACGTGACGCCTGCTCTCGGTAGGTATTGGGTACAGTGTTAGACACACAATATGTCTAGTAGGCTCAGAGTACACTTAGTAATAAGTTGCATTTTTCAGTGCTGGAGTCAAATCACTTTTCTGATATCTTCCCCCAACACCGTGCCGTAAAACTCTTCACACACACAGAGAAGTTGAGAGACCCGTGCAGTGAACACCTAACGCTCCCTCTGCAGATGCCACAGCTCCCAGCCCGTTGCCTGCCTTGTGCCCCCCTCGCCCGCCCGCCCGCCCGCCTCCCCCCAGCACCTGCCGCCCTCCGGTTTCCACCTGCCTCTGGTCCCTGGCCAGGGCGCCCGCGTCACTGCTCTGTGTTTTGGTGAGCAGTGGTCATTCTTCGTGGCAGGGCTGGGCTGGGGTTTTTGTCATTGTTCTATTTCATTCCTTAACTCTGCTGGACACTATTCCAAGACTTGTGAATTTGGAGAAACAGGACTTTGAATTGAGAACCTTTTGATAGGATAATAAATTTTATATAAGGGGCCATTCATGGAAAAGTGCCAACCACGGGGAAGCCTCACCAGGAGCCATTTAATTTGTTCTGAATCTGAGTTTTATTTATTTTTTATTTTTGAGATAGAGGGGGGAGACAGAGAGAGAGAGAGAGAGGGAGAGAGAGAGAGAGATGGAGACAATCCCAAGCAGGTTCCACACTCAGAGAGGAGCCTGACTTGAGGCTTAATCCCAGAGACCTGGGATCATGGCCTGAGCCGAAATCAAGAGTTGATCCTCAATTGACTGAGCCGCCCAGGTGCCCCTGATTCTGACTTCAAAGCAGACTGTTTGAGTCCCTCAGCTCCGACGTGGGCAATCTTCTGTGGGGGGGGGGGAGTGCCTATCAGTCCACTCCCCCCCAGCTTGCCTCCTGGTTAGCAGGTGAGCAGTCAGGGCCGGCGGGGGGGGGGGGGTGATGGTGCTTGGCCTGCTCTTCTCTTACTGCCCTCCTGCCCGCCTCCACTCCCCCTCCCCTGGGCCCTCCATCCTCCACACAGACAGGGGACGCTGAGGCAGAAGCAGCCACGTTTCCTCTTTAACAGACTGCCCTCCACACTTTCACTGAGGCTGGTTCGCCTCTGGGCAGAAGGCGTCCAGAGTCACACACCAGACCCGTCTCCGCCCGCGCACAGCAGCCCCCTCGGGAGGTGGGAAGAAGGCTCGTGCCCCACGCTTTCCTCCGTTGACATTGACTTGGCCCGTGTGGGAAAGTCCGCCTCCCGGCACGCCAGATAAACACATCATAGGGCATTTTCCGGTGCCCTCTCTAGGTCCTGATGTCGGCCACACCACACGTCCCGGATCCTCGGCTGGACACAGGGCCTGGTCAGCCACTGCCCTGTCCCAGCGGAGCTGGGATGGGGCGCCCGGCCCACAGCCTTGCCGTCACCCCCACCCATTCCCAGTGACTCCATTCACTGGAAAACCCCACCCACTGATTTCCCGAGATGGAAGAAAGCTTCGCATCCCTCCCTGGTATGAGGCAAGCTCACGGCAGCCGACCCCCTGCCCCGTGACCCCTCACATCCACCCACAGGGCACAGGGGGAGGGGGGAGGCTGGAGGGATGGCGGGACCAGTCCACACGCTTCTCTCTGCACAGACGGAGAAGGGACATGTTTAAGCTGCCTTCACTAAGTACCCTGAAAATGAAGCCTGGCGGTTGCGGGAACCTTGACTGACATGGATAAATCCAAGACAAAGTTAACCTTTAGCGGCACTCACAGTGTGCTTATCACTATAAAAAGTGCTGAGGGGCGCCTGGGTGGCTCAGTCGGTCAAGTGGCCGGCATCAGATCAGGTCATGATCTCGTGGTTTGTGGGTTCAAGCCCCTTGTCAGGCTCCGTGCTGACAGCTCAGAACCTGCTTCGGGTCCTCTGTCCCTCTCCCTTTCTGCCCTCTCGCTCAAAAATAAATATTTAAATACTTTTTTACAATGCTGAGAACTTGTGCTGGTTGGGCACCCCTTGAACACCTCAAGGTGAGACCGTGAAGTCCAGATAATTCGCTGCGGTTCGTTCCTTCCTTTTCACCCTCCCGCACCTTTATCTTTCAACCACATTTCATTCAAGGGTGTTCATTGATCCGGAGGCTGCCACCGTGTGGCTGCAAAGCATTACTACACTGTGAACACAGGAACGCTAGCCGGGCTTCTCTGCAGTCACAGAGGCTCAGGGCACAAAGGGAATTTTGACACCTTCTAGTTCTTTTTTTTTAATGTTTTATTTATTTCTGAGAGAGAGACAGCGTGAGCACGGAAGGGTCAGAGAGAGAGGGAGACACAGAATCTGAAACAGGCTCCAGGCTCCGAGCTGTCAGCACAGAGCCCGACGCGGGGCTCGAACCCACGAACCACGAGATCATGACCTGAGCCGAAGTCGGACGCTGAACCGACGGAGCCCCCCGGGCGCCCCTGACACCTTCTAGTTCTGACTCACCGGGGACATGTGGCAGGTGAGGCCCAGCGTCACTCAACCCAAATGAGAGAAGGACGCCTTATGGGAAAATGACGTCTTGCTCAGTTATTTTTAAATGTTTCAGGAGGTTGAAAATGTGGCTGTTTCTAATACATTAGAATACCAATTTCTTTCTATTGAAACCAAACATAAAAGCAGAATCCTTTATTGCAATTCCTCAATATCCCCCCAGATCCCTGTGGTCAGCACACTGTCTTCCCCAGCGTCCACCCCAGATCCCTGGGGTCAGCACACTGTCTTCCCCAGCCTCCCCAGATCCCTGGGGGTCAGGACACTGTCTTCCCCAGCCTCCGCAGATCCCTGGGGGTCAGCACACTGTCTTCCCCAGCCCCCCTCAGATCCTTGGGGGTCAGCACACTGTCTTCCCCAGCCCCCCCAGATCCCTGGGGGTCAGCACACTGTCTTCCCCAGCCCCCCCAGATCCCTGGGGGTCAGCACACTGTCTTCCCCAGCCCCCCCAGATCCCTGGAGGTCAGCACACTGTCATCCCCAGCCCCCCCAGATCCCTGGAGGTCAGCACACTGTCTTCCCCAGCACCCCCAGATCCATGGGGGTCAGCACACTGTCTTCCCCAGCACCCCCAGATCCTTGGGGGTCAGCACACTGTCTTCCCCAGCCCCCACCCCAGATTCCTGGGGGTCAGCACAGTCTTCCTCAGCACCCCCAGATCCTTGGGGGTCAGCACACTGTCCTCCCCAGCACCCCCAGATCCCTGGGGGTCAGCACACTGTCTTCCCCAGCCCCCCCCAGATCCCTGGGGGTCAGCACACTGTCTTCCCCAGCCCCCCCCAGATCCTTGGGGGTCAGCACACTGTCTTCCCCAGCATCCCCAGATCCTTGGGGGGTCAGCACACTGTCTTCCCCAGCCCCCCCCCAGATCCTTGGGGGTCAGAACACTGTCTTTCTGGCTCTCTCTTATCTCCCTCAGCATTATTCCAGGAAAGGGGAGCCCAGATTGTGTCTTCTGTTACTCCCACAAATGTTCCACATGGTCTCATTTTCCAGTTGATAAATTCTGAATTAATGATTCTAATTTAATCAAAAGTTCAGTAGAATCAATGGAATACCATGGAGTAAAATACCTACTTTGAAAATAAGCATAAAGTTATAAATTCGATAATTATTGTTCTGTTTCTATTTATGCACGGGAAATATTTACAAATCTTAAAATTATACTTGTTACTCTTTTCAATAATAAACTGTTATTTTGGATTGAGATAATAGACTAGTCACATTACAATATTCAACAGCATCTCACAGAGCCATGAATGGACAGGAAGAAAGGCTACCTTCTCCGTCCACTAAAGAACTGTTCACTATTTTAAAGAAGGTGTTGTGGTAACAAGGTGCTATGTTAAGGTGATCAGATTAATGGATCTCCAAGTTCATTTAAAATTTTTTTTTAATGTCTTTGTTTTATTTTGAGAGACAGAGAGCAAGTAGGGGAGGGGCAGAGAGAGAGGGAGACAGAGGATCTGAAGCAGCTCCAGGCTCTGAGCTGTCAGCACAGGGCCCGACACAGGGCTCGAACCCACAAAGTGAGAGATCATGACCTGAGCCGAAGTTGGATGCTTAACTGACTGAGCCACCCAGGCGCCCCTCATTAAGGCCCAATCACTGCAACCTTAAGTGCGGCTTGGGTAGAATCCTTACCTGCGCCTTTTGCCTGTGGTCTAGTGCGAACCCCACCAGTTTGGCACAGAGCCCCTGCCCGTAGGGCGTCTCTCTCTCTCTCTCTCTCTCTTTCTCTCTCTCTCTCTTCTCCCTCCTTCAATCCTAAAGTTGCAGAGTCAGCTAAGCTTAGCAGAGACTTTGGTAGCAAAGGTCTGTAAACCTCAGAGCCCTGAGGCATGGTTGGGATAAAGATGGTTGGTGCTTTGGAAAGTGAAAGGTGTTTGCATTTCCTCCCCACCCCCCAGTAAAGATAAGTTATTCTTTCTTGGGGACCTTTTGTGCCCCTTCTGTTTCAAAGCATAGGGGCCGTAGGAAATAGTCCCTGAAATATCCTGCTTCAGGAAGCGATCACAAGACATTCCACTTAGAAGTAAAGACAAACAAGCGAACCACAGGTGCTGGTGTCATGTTCCCCAAGCTGATCTAATCCCCTGGGGTCAGGCCCCAGCCGGGCTTCTGTGCCCATGACCCCGGCAACTATGTGTGTGAGGCAGGGCCGTTTTATTCCCCTCCACTCCCTTCCCGGGAACTTGATTGTCATCAGGAGGTTAAAGCTTAGGTCTCAGCCCAGCCCAGGCGCTCTGATAAATAGAGGAGGAGCCGGAGGAGACGAGGGTTTCTGGGACAAAGCGGGGTGGGAGGACCAGGCTGAGAGGGAAGGGATCGGGGCTCAGAGGCTCGGGGGGACCTGCGGTGGCCTGCGTGCATCCCCGCTCGGACATGGGCTCCAGGACCCGCCCCTCACCGCCACTTCTTCCAGTGCTGCTGCTGCTCCTGCTGCTACAGGTGAGCTGGGCAGGTGCTCAGAACCCGGGCGGGAGGGGCGCCTGGGCAGCTCAGTCGGTTAAGCATCCGACTTCGGCTCAGGGCATGATCTCGCGGTTCGTGGATTTGAGCCCTGCGTCGGGCTCTGTGCTGACAGCTCAGAGCCTGGAGCCTGTTTCAGACTCTGTGTCTCCCTCTCTCTCTCTCTGCCCCTTCCCCGCTTACACTCTTATTTCTCTCTCAAAAAATGAATAAATGTTAAAAAAAAAAAAAGGACCCAGGTGGGGATCCATGCGCGGCGGGGCTGAAGGCACAGCTCACGTTGGCCGAGCACAGCTGAGAGGAGCCGCGGGGAGCGCTCTGCCCGCGAGGAGGGCAGCTGCCGGGAGAGTCCGGGGTCTGGACGCTTGTAGGGGGGCATTGGCAGCTGGGCTCCCAAACGCATACAAAGGAGGGGCTGGTTCAGGGTCACAGCCTGTTTGGGGCAGTGGTGGAGACGGGCTAAGGTGTGACTTTATCTTAACACTGGTTTAAACAGTACACAGCATTTTCATTTAGATTTGTGTCGACCCCAGCTTCCCAAGGCTACTTCTCTTCCTGCCTCAAATAAGACGGAGAAAATCTCAGCCGTGTATGTCCCAGACGATCTGAGCAGACCGAGGAGGGTGGGAGGGCGTAACCCCCTCGCCCCCACACCCAGCCCTTGCCCCCTACCACCAATGCAAATACAAAGAATGGAATCAAGGTTAGAGAGCACAGGGCTAGCTGGATTCGTACTTACCCTGGGCGACTCAGTGTTGGGTCTGCTCGTCCTCACCGCCTGCCCCAGGCCCTCTGCAGGCAGGAGGGGCAGCCGCGAGGCTCGGCCGCAGTTCTCCCCGAGGGACTGGCCCCGGGCCCGCGGGTCTGACCGGCTTGCTCAGCATTCCGATCCAGCTCGTCCACTTCCGGCCGGGGGTCTGGGCTGACCACTTGACCTTGGTCCTCGCCGTGGCTCGAGCTGGACTCTTCTAGTTCACTGCAGAACTCCGGAGGCCCAGGGGCCTCCCCTAGAGGCTCCGACTGAGCTGATCTGGACAGGGGGGGTGGCCTGGCCCTTACGGCTTTCACTTGATCTTGTTAAGCCTCATTTTCTTTACCTGTAAACGGAGCCAAGGCTTGTTCTCCCTGCCCTGTGGTCGGAAGAGCGAATGAGGAGATGGCCGTGGCCGTTGTGCCCACGTGGTGGGGTCCTTCCGGTTTTCCAGCGGGGCAGAAAGTTGGGATTGCACGTAGCGCCCACGCGACAGCTATTTCCTGGATACTTGCTCTGGGCCGGGTGTGGGGGATGAACCCGTAAACAAGATGGGGGGGCACCCATGTGCGCCTGCACTCCAGTGAATCGGCTTCTGACATGAGTGCCTCCTTCAGTCCCAGCTGTGTGGCCTTTGGAGGATTTTCTTGGTCTCTCGTTGCCCCATCAGGTTGTGAATGTTCTTAACTGAACATACTCTCCTTGTGTCTCCAATACTTTGTTGAATCCTGTTAATAGCCTGTTTGAATCATCGTCTGTCTCCATCTTTCCCTTGCCTTGCCCTTGCCCCTAACCGGTCTCGTCAGAAGACAGAGGTGCGTTTTCCTCTTCTCTGTTGCATTAGCACCGAGCCCAAGCAAGTTCGTTCGCGTCCAAGGGCGTGTTGAGTCAGGGTGGGCAGCGGGCATTGGAGCGAGGGTAGTAATTCAGTGTTTACTGAAAGCAGCTTTCTACCGATCCCAGGGGATGGAGACAGACAAAAAGAAGGTGCTGTGGTAGGAGGCAGGGGGGTTAGCGATCTCCATTCTGGACCCTTAACAGGGCAAAGAGCTTTCCGCCCAGTGGGTGCTCAGTTATTTGATGAATTGGCCGTAAGTAACCCAATTCCTTCCCACTCCTCTCCTTGTCCCCCCAAGTTGGCTGACAACCGTCTCTGACATCCAAAACAGGTACCCACTGCCCCTCTCTGGTCTGAAATGTAAAGTCAGTCCCCGCCCTGTGGAGCCCTGCTACAGCGGTTTTCCTCTGACCCCCACCCCCCACCCCGCACCCCCACCCCCACTGTCGGGGGGGCATCGCTTTATGACGAACTTGTGAGTCTCCGGCAGGTTTTCACTTTTGCTCCAGATGCAGCCACAACCCTCAGAAGGGGAGTCCTGCCCCCTCCTCTTAGGTAATTTCTGGTCCCAAGGACTCCTGAGTCCTCCAGTCTGGGCTGTGCCCAGCTCCCCGGAGCAGCGGGGGGCCGGGGGGGGGGTCTGAGAGAAGGAAGTCAGACATGAGCAAAGTCTGTTATGTTGTGGCTGCTGTTTTTTACTCTGGGAAGTTCTACATCGAGTTATCTTTCAAGAACTCTCAGCACTAATGGTCTGCCTGATTTGTTTGCTAAGCTCCTGGTTCAAGAGCAACAGTTGGTGGACTGTAGAAGGTGAGGGACGGGGAGGCAGGGCTGAAGCCGGGCACTCAGCAGGGACGGAGCAGGCTGGACTCTGTCTGAAGGGCGCTGGGAAGCCAGTGACATGACAAAGTCTGCACTTTTAAAGATCACCTGCGTTTCTGTGTGGAGAACGCGCTCGGGAAGCATGCTAATCTCCTGGGGCTGCCTCGGGGGCCCCACGCGGGATGGCTCCCGGCCACAGAAGGGCCCGGTGCGGTGCCATGCTTAGAGACACCGTGGTGCATACCTGAAAGTCGTCAAGAGAACAAATCTTCCACGTTCTCATCACGAGAAAAACAGTTCCGTAACTACGTGTGCTGACAAATGTCAACGAGACTTATTGTGGTGATCATTTTGCAATATGTACAAATATCAGACCATTCTGTTGCACACCTGCAGCTAATATAATGGTGTTGGCCAGTTATACCTCTATTTAAAAAAATTCTCCTTGAATGCAAATTCGCAAGAAAAAATTAAATATATTCCGAGCGCCTGGGTAACTCAGTTGGTTAAGTGTCCAACCCTTGATTTTGGCTCAGGTCAGGATCTCACGGTTCGTGGAATTGAGCCCCACGTCTGGCTCTGAGCTGACAACGCGGAAACTGCTTGGGATTCTCTCTCCCTCTCTCTCTGCCCCTGCCCTGCTCATATTCTCTCCCTCTCTCTCAAAAATAAATAAATAAACATTAAAAAAAAAAAAAGATTTTCAGGATTTCCATGCAGGCTTCCTTAGTTCTTTAGTCTGCAGACACGAAGCCTCCGTGTACCCAGAGCATTTCCCACCAGAGTGAGGCCCCAGGCGCTCAGCCAGACCAGACCCCATGGTCGTCCTTACTCGATGTCCCCACAGCCAGCACCGCCTGGCATATGATTTGTGCGTGGCCCTTGCAGCAAAATGCCTGCCTGTGCACTCAGCGTTAGCCGGGCGCTGTAGCCAGACACCAGCCTCCAGAAAGTGTTCCCTCCACATTCTAGAAACATTATGTAAATCTTTTTATTTTTTACGTTTTTTTTTAAGTTTATATTTTATTTTGAGAAAGACACAGTGTGAGTAGGGGAGGGGCAGAGAGAGAGTTGACAGTGCAGAGCCTGATGCAGGGCTCAAACTCATGAAACTGTGAGATCATGACCTGAGCCAAGATCAAGAGTCGCTTGATCAAGAGACGCTTACCCGACTGAGCCACCCAGGTGCCCCCACTATGTAAATCTTTTAAATGGTATCCTTTTTAGGTCAACTGCATAAAATTGGCAGGGATGGTAAATGTAATAAGCGCACTCACAAAATCATTCCAGCAAAGAACAACCGTTTCTGGTCCTCCCCTGTCACCCAGACGAGATGGCACAATTTGCCAGGCATGCGGTGTGGAGGGGGACGCGAACTACGCAGATGTCAGGTGTCTGCACACCTCAGCACCTGCAGTGCGGCTCTCACGCGGCTGCTGGCTGAGCCGTCCACGTGCTGCCGAGTGACTTGAAGGCACAGAGCCCTCCTTTGGAGACGGCCCTTAAAGGCACCTGGTCACACACGTTCACTTACAGAAGGGGAAACTGAGGCCAGCAATGAGGCAAAACCTCGAGATATTTCTTGTTAGTGACCCGGGCCCCCTGGAAATTGGCCTGTTTTAGAAACACAATGAATTTCTTCATTTTTTTTTGCAAGAACTGCGATTTTCTCCATTTTAAAATTATATGTCTGGTTAAGCCCTTAATTTAAAACTACCAACACAAATCACAAAAGAAGCATTTGTTGTCTGATCTAATCAATGCTTGAGATTTTTGGAACTCCAAGAGTTTAAAAATTCTTCTCCTTTACGTACAGCTGAATGCAGTCTGTAGCAGGAAACAACTATTATTATTATCTTTGGCATTAATGAAACAAGACAAGCCAGTGATGTCCGTCTCCACGAGGAAGGTGGCTGCTTACATAGCAAGGACACAAGAAGAAGGTGTCTTCATGTTCTGTGAAACCCCTAACAAAGGGCAGTGGCATGAGCTGCCGCAGAGACGGACCCGACGGGTGCAAGGCCACCAAGGGGGGTGACAGTCACTCGCGCTGTCCCAGAGACTTAGGTACAAATCCCAGAGTAGCGACTGTCGCCTATTGGCTCTCAGAATGCCTTCTCACCCGCCAGCACTCCTGAGCACCCAAAGCGCTGGGCCTTGGGTGGGTTTTATTTACGATGACTTTACCATGTTAGAAGTTCAGACTGGAAAACTGTAAGCATTTCTGAGTTCATTAACGATAATAAACCCAGTGCATGTAAGTATAAGTCACATGCTTCTATGAAAAATAACCATATTTATGTTAGGTTCCATTTAGCTTTAAGAGTGGCACTGTTTTATATATATTTTTAAAAATTTTTAATGTTTATTTATTTTTGAGAGAGAGAGAGAGACAACGTGAGTGGGGGAGAGGCAGAGAGAAGAGGGAGCCACAGAATCCGAAGCAGGCTCCAGGCTCTGAGCTGTCAGCACAGAGTCCCATGCAGGGCTCGAACTCACAAACTGCGAGATCATGACCTGAGCTGAAGTCCAATGCTTAACTGACTGAGACACTCAGGCGCCCCACTGTTTTATGTTTTTGCAAATCTCTTGTTCTAAAAGAAGATGGCCAGATTCTCCTCTCTGAGTCTGCAGTCTAATGTACATGTTGTTTAGTTAAAAGACATGAAGAAATTTTGGCCTCACCCAGTTATATGCATATGGAAAGGGAGGAATATTTGAACAGCCTTGAACAGATAATTGTGGATATCCTTCTTTGATATTACATGAAACCTGACAAAGTGGTATTTTTTAACAACTGCTGCCACGTGGGATCTGAACACAGGTTAATAAACTTGCCCTGCTCTTTGACCTTAAAGCCATGACCCTCTTGCCTTTCGGATGACTCTAACCTGGGCATGAGTTTGGAATGTCATGCATTAATCGTTAGGAAGCTCTTGGCTCATCGAGTTATGTAGATCTTCCAAATGTTGACATATTTCATTCTACAAAATCAGAAAATCACATTTATTAATATCTCCACCAGTATCGTCAGAAAATTCTTGTGAGTACTGGGAAGCTGTGAAGCCCATTGTAGCGGACACAAGTTTTCCAAAATTCTAATTTTTGCTTAAAAGCTTACGTTTCATCACTGGCAACATGATACTAGCCACTATTTTCCTCGAAGTGATGGCTCACTTGTTTGCTATCCAAGGGCTGTCTGTCAAGTGCCCAACCCTGGGCAATGTGGTTTGTCAGTCACTCTTTCAAGTCAAATGCTCCTCCATAAAGAAGTGGCCCGTTCAGCTGGTGCCTCCAACGATCCCCTACACACACTTTCTTAATTTTTCTTTTTAATGTTTATTTATTTTTCAGAGGGGAGGGCCAGAAAGAGAGGGAGACACAGAATCCCAAGCAGGCTCCAGGCTCTGAGCTGTCAGCACAGGGTCTCGACCAGGGTCTCGAACCCATGAATTGTGAGGTCACGGCCTGAGCCAAAGTTGGTCACTTAACCTACTGAGCCACCTGGGCGCTCCATGATCACACACGCCCTTCCCTGGAGACTCTCTCCTCTGACGTGTGTGTTTCTCGCCTAGTCAATACGGGTACTGAAAATGTGTGCTCACGCACTGCAGTAACATTAACATCTTTGCTGCTTCACCCATTCTCAAGCGATGTCAGCAGTCAAGTGATTCATTCTTAAATGCAACAGGCTTCTTCCTTCCTTCTTTTTCTTCCTGCACATGCGTATTGCTGGAGATAGTGCGGGGGACCTGGTGCCGTTGGCTTCCTCGGTGCTGAGGCTCGGGCGATTTGTCCCATCCGTGCAAATGTCATACAGTGAGACAGGCAAATGCTACCCCAGAGTCATTAAGGAAGCACGTGGCCTTGTGGGCCCTGATGGAGACCTATAGGGAAAGGGTTAACCCCAGGCAGGGAGAGACAAGGGCCCTGGGGAGGCAGGCTGCAGCTGCAAGTGGGAGGCTGAGGAAGCAGTAGGTTTAGGAGAAAAAAAAGGGTAAACATATTCCTGACCCGCCTGGGCGGGTGCCATGCGTGGAGTCTCATAAACTTTCAGATAAGTTTCCAGTGAAAGGCCAGGGACACAAATCCTTGGTGGCTCCCCAGTTGGGACCCCTCACTCTTGAGAGCTTTGCACTTCCCCTCAATAAACTCTATCACTTTGCTCACTCTTTGTTGTCCACGAGATTCATTCTTGGACCCCGTGAGACAAAGCTGCCACTCGGGAGAAATCTTCTCTATGCACGTGGATGCTTATTGCCACAGCACTTTTTTTTTTGCTTGATTATAGTAATAACAAACAACTGGAAAAAGTCTAATGACCATCCCCGGAAGAATGAGTAAATAACTTGTCTCTGTTCACGTAGTGACGTGGTGTACGCAGTGACAGTGAGTGGATTAGAGGACACACTTCTGTGTGTCAACACGCACACGTGCTCGTTCAGTGTTGGTTCTGACAAGCTCTACAGGATCTGTCTTATTTCAACAACCTTGCTGTACATGCGTGTGTGTTTTCTGGTGGGTGGAGAGTTTGTTGAGATGTAAATTGTAAACAAATAATTCCTAATTGTAAATCATTATATAAATGAAAAGTACCAACTTCTAGTATTTTATTGATTCTTATAAGATAAAGTCTAAAAATAAGGAGGGAAAAAGGCCCAGTTGGATCGCTCCACCAGTTAACATTTGGTATTTACACGTGACACATCAATACATCTTTGTTCGTCGGGAATAGACTGTGATCTCCGCGTTACGGTCTTAGATGTCGCCTGTATCGGCGATACTCTGTGAGAATCCTTTTGGTTAGTTCCCCTACGGTTGCAGAGGAAACGCGGTGATTCTGAACTGAGATGAAAGGAGCAAGAAATTATATTGATCAAAACCAAATAAAGTTCTTTTTCTTCCTTTCCTCATTCCAGAAGACTTGTGCGACTTCAGGCAGGTCCTGAGAAGTCTATCCCCTACTAATTCACGCCATTTTTATTTTTAAGGTCAACAGCGTCAACAGCTTCCAACAAGAAAATGATGATCTTGCTGGTCAAACAAAGGTAGGGTTCGGAAGTCCCTTTCTTCCGAAGTCACGTGTAATCACACTGGACTCAGAGACTCCATTGCGATTTCAAGATTTTTAGTTCCTGGTCGATAGTCAGTTTGCAGAAAATAAATTACTAATGACATGTGGCCTTTTGCAATCTCCAGGGACTGCTAGAGAATTGCAGAAGATGCTTTTATGTCTGCTAGAATAGGGACAGTCCGGGAACATCAGAAATCAGCCTTCCGGTGCTAGCCCAGAGCTTTATCCACACTGTTCTCTTCTTTGTGGAATTAAAACATTGAACTTAACTTTCTCCAGCGTTTGAGCTTTGGACAGTCCAGGGAGGCAGGCATGCCCCTCAATCATTGTTGTTGTGAGCTCATGCCACCTTGCGAATATCTCCTTCCTGTCTCATGATCGGCTCACTTTCTAATTGAATACACTTGACCTTTGAACAACATGGGTTTAAAGTGCATGGGTCCACTTACATGCAGATTTATTTTACAGGACAGTGCTGTAAATGTATTTTCTCTTCCTTATGATTTTCTGGATGCCATTGTCCTCACCACATACGGCATATGATGTACATAACATACAAAATATGTGCTAACCGACAGTTCATGTATCAGTCAGGCTTCTGGCCAATGGTAGGTTGTTAGTAGTAAAGTTTTGGGGGAGTCAATAGTTATATGTGGATTTTTGGCTGCCCCTGGGGGCAGCTGACCAACCCTCACGTTGTTCAAAGGTCAACCGTAATTTTTGAAAAAGCTTACACGTTTGCGGACAAAAAAAATAATGTGCCCAGAAAGCAGCTTCGTTTGTAATAAGTAGATGGCTAAACTCCATCTGTGGCCTTTCGCCTGACAAGTCTCTGAGCCTGACATCTGAGTCTGAATCTCTCTCTCTTCTTGTCTTTGTTAAAAGGGAGAGTTATAGACGAAGAGGCATTAAAGACCTATCAGCACCGAATGCAGATGTTCTCATCAACTCTTTCATTTTTTCATGTATAATTTATTGTCAAGTTGGCTAACACACAGTGTACACAGTGAGCTCTTGGTTTTGGGGGTAGATTCCCATGATTCATCACTTACATACAACACCCAGTGCTCATCCCAGCACGTACCCACCTCAATGCCCATCACCTATTTCCCCCCCACACACACCCTCCATCCACCCTCAGTTTGTTCATAAACTATTTTAGAAAGACAGAGAGACACATGGGGGAGTAACCTCATTCATTCAGCGACTGTTTGTGTGTCTGCCGTAGGACAGGTGTCTGCACGTAGTCGGCACATAGAGAGACAGTGTGAGCAGGGGAGGGTCAGAGAGAGGGGGAGACACAGAATCCGAAGCAGCTCCAGGCTCCCAGCTGTCAGCACAGAGCCCGACGCGGGGCTCGAACCCACGAACCGTGAGATCGTGACCTGAGCTGAATTGGGACGTTTAACAGACTGAGCCACCCAGGCGCCCCATGTAGGCAGTGATCTTTAATGTCCTGTCTGCATAGCCCCTGAAGTGATCTTATAACCCATGTAAAATCATTGGGTGGCACATGTCGTCCCATCTAGAAACGGCTCTGCAGAGTTTAAGAGAATAGGCGCTTTTAATTCCTAAGCCTCAGAGCTGTCGTGAGGACAAGGGAGATAATGCAAATCCAGTGCCTGCCGCCTCGCCGTTACCTCCTTATTGTGGTCGCTGTCACTTCAGGGAGAGAGCCACCGGCCCCTACGGCGATCCAAGAGGAGATGGATTATTACCACCCTGGAAGTGAAGGAGGAAGATCCAGGCCCCTTTCCCAAGCTTGTCGGTGAGGTAAGGAAGCCCCGCCGCCCTCTCTGACTGGCTGGAGGGTTACGTCGCGAAAGGCTGTGTATTCGGGGCCCACGTGGTGCAGTGATGGGCGGAACACCGGACGGGGGTCTAGAGCCCACGGTGCCGCCACCAACGAGGTGGCATCGGCAAGTCCCTTCGTGTGAGTGTGAGCTGAGCACGTCAGTCACAGCTGGCAGTGGGCTGGGCAGTTCCAGCCCGCAGACCCGCCGTATTCGGCCCGTGCAAAGTCTTTAGTTTAGAAAAGTATTTTTTCTTTTTTTTAAATAAGGGAGATTGTGGTTACCGGAGGCTGGGAAGTGGGGGCAGAAAGGTAGCTGGCAGGACGGGGGGGGGGGGTCATGGAGACTCACGGGTTGATGGGGACAGAGTGCCGGTCTGGTTGGATGAAAAGCACTGTGGACACAGATGGTGGCGGCGGCCGCCCAGCCGTGTGCGCGGGCTTAGTTCCGCCGGCCCGCACACTCAGGGGTGATGAGGATTGTAAATCGTATGATATGTGTGCTTTACCACAATTTAAAAAACGGAGAAAACAGGAAGATTGTATTAGGAATTGTGTAATTTTAGAGGTCTTTGAAAACTGGAAAATCTGACCACACGGAGCAACAACGAGGTGGAGCTCGAGTTAGCCACAGTCCCCACCGCTCCCTGCTGCCTTGCCTACTCGGAGGCTGAGCACCAGCCGTTGCACCGAAGTGGTCACGTGACGGTGTCAGAATGCTGGAACTTTCCCACCCGGCCCATGTCATTCGCATCCACGACACTCCTGACCTGATGCACCTGTGAATTATGTACTGAGTCACTAATTCCCTACAGTTGTGACATCCTATGGTTTCTCGAGAAAAAAGTAAAACAATTTTCATTTTTTTGCAGTATTCATAAAAATAGTAGATGCCTGCTTTTATTTAAAAAAAAAACAACAACAACAACATACAGAGAGTTTTCAGGGCTCAGTGGTTAAAACTATATCTTCCTGAGAGTCAGCAGAACACAGTGGGCTCCTGCTCCAGAGGCATCGTATCCCTAATGTAGGAGTTAGAGATGCTCTCTGCCCCCGTCTACACAGCACAGGCCGTGCGGGCACCTCCATTATAGGCTTGCTGTAAAGATTAAATAGGCGAGGGCAAGGGAGGCCTATCATAGCCTGGCTCACGCCAAGCCCTTTGTAAATGTTAGCTGCAGGAGTATGTCTCCTGTCTCCCTGAAGGGGTCAGCAATGTGAGCACCTCGGTATGTACCCTTCCAGATATTTCTCCACAGTCTCGCTAATGTGAGTCTGTGTTGACAAAACAGGACGGTGATACGCGCATCGTTCTGCAAGCTGCCTTTCCGGTTTCACAGTACGGCACAGCCTCGTTCCGGGGGCAGGGTGTGTAAATCCTGAAAGACTGGGCCGTGCCCTGGGAAGGGGTATCGTTCTAGATTCTTTCCCAGGGAGGGACATGTGTGCTGCTCCCAAACTTCAGCCACGTCCCCCGTTCCTGCACCTTGGCATGTCTTTCTATGTCTTTAGGATGAATCCTCAAATGCGCAACTACTAGACATGGCGCTTTATTTTTATTTTTTTAATGTTTTTATTTATTTCTGAGAGAGAGAGACAGCGTGAGCAGGGAGGGGCAGAGAGAGAGGGAGACACAGGATCTGATGCAGCTCCAGGCTCCGAGCTGCCAGCACAGAGCCCGACGTGGGGCTCGAACCCACGAACCGTGAGATCATGACCTGAGCCGAAGTCGGACGCTTAACCGACTGAGCCCCCCAGGCGCCCCTATGACGCTTTAAAAATACCTGTGCATCTTAGCCTTGATCTTCAGTGTGCCTTGTGGCTTATTCTCATTTTCCTTTCTCCCCCATTTTTTGCCTTTTCAGCTGTTCAATGACAGGTCTAATAACGAGTCAGTCATATTTTTGATCCGTGGACCTGGTGTGGATGAGTACCCCGAGATGGGGCTGTTTTCTGTAGAAGATCACAGGAACGGACGAGTGTATGTCCACCGCTCAGTTGATCGAGAAAAAACACCATCTTTCAAGGTACCTAAAGCCTGAGACATGCTAAGCGTGGATTTCTTGTGAGGCTGTTGGGGGACTGTCGTACGAGCCAGGCGCTAGGGAAGCCGTCCGTACGCCACGTCCTGGGGGACAGTACGTCATGCACCGTGCTGAGCTTCAACAGTATGCGTGGGCTGTGAGGTTGATTCTATAACGTTCTTTTAAAGTCCTGGACTCTGGGACGATTCATGTGAGCTGCTGCAGATCTTTCTTCCAGTGACCGGATTCCCGCCACACTCAGGATTCCCGGGAATCCTGGGGATCGGGCTGTGGGTTGTTTACAAAGTGAGCTAACCTGGCCTTCGATGAGTCACCATTGAGATATGCGGGCAGAGGCCACTGGCAGAGCCCACAGCTGCCTAATGACCGATGGATGGGCAGCTCTGTACCAGGCGACAGTTTCTTAGTGAGTCTGCGTGTTCCTTCTGATCTCACAACTCCGACGTCATGGTCTACCATGACTCTGAAATCCAGGTTCTAAGCCAGGAAAGGAAATTATAAAGTAATGCCCAACCCACATGGTGGTATATTACATTACCAGCCTCACCTTACCGGGGTGCATAGGACATTTTCGCCTTCGTTACGTTGTGACTTCTGCTGGAAACTGAGCTTGTCTGCACACTAACTCCTTCCGGGTGGGACAAAACATCTGAAAGAGGTAATTTATATCACCTCTTCTACAACGACCTCAAACTATGTATATACGTAATCAAATACATGCCCTTAACTCATTGATAGGCTCTGAATCTCTAATTTTTAAACAGGCAGAAATTCTTCCCCAAATCCAAAAGTCCTGCAGAGATGACTCTCCGGGTCTTAACTATATTCACAGAAACCGTTGCCCACCTGGGGACTGTGTAGTGTCTGTTAAAGAGAAGCAATATAGAGTGGTCACGGGGGGCCCTGGGGCAGCCCCGCTAAATCTCGGATGAGCAAACAGAGTGCCGAGGGATTTGGGGAAAATGGAGATTTTGTTTCCGTAAGTCAGCACGGAGCATAGACTGTCTCCAAGAAGCTCCCAGGAGAGGGAAGCCTAGTGCACGGCAGGTGGGAGCAGAGGGGAGGCTTGGGCAAATAGCGGCGGGCGTGACTCCTGCGCAGGGAGGAAACAACTCACTTAGTGCTGTGTTCTCGGTCGTACTCTTGTGTTTCGGTTGCTGGTGGTTTGCCTTTAACGTCTTTACTGACCTATTGAGGGTTGGCTTCCACAAAGTTTTGCTTTATTTTGTTTAATGTTTTATTTATTTCTGAGAGAGAGAGAGACAGCATGAGCAGGGGAGGGTCAGAGAGAGAGGGAGACACAGAATCTGAAACAGGCTCCAGGCTCCGAGCTGTCAGCACAGAGCCCGACGCGGGGCTCGAACCCACGAACTGCGAGATCATGACCTGAGCCGAAGTCGGATGCTTAAGCGACTGAGCCCCCAGGCGCCCCACAAGGTTTAATGTGGACTCTGCCGATAGCTGGCGGTGCCAAGCCAAATCCGCGTTTTCTGAAATGTGAGGCCGGGGTGGAATGGTTGGCCCTCTGTCCCAGGGAGGTATTAGAACAAACAGGGAAAACGTGGGGACGTGAGCGGCGTCCCTGGGGGTGCTGCTCTGTCGGGATCTCTGGGCCCTGTGCTTGGACCTGCCTGGTCAGACGGAGATCGAGCCCGCACTCCCCCTGGCCCCCCACAGCACTGTCACAGCCGCCCTTTCACACCGGGCTCTGCGATCACTTGCTAGCTGGCCCCTCCTTTGACGGTGAACTTGCATGAGGGTGGGGATTTGGGGGCGCCCCCCCAGCCCGGGGTTCCCTGTCTCACGCCCGTGGTTCACTGTGTCCTTGATACTTTTCATTGTCTAAAGCGTATGCCTGACGTGTGTTTGGTTCTCTGTGGGTGGCCAGGGTCCCCACTGGGTGCTCGTTCTAAGAGGGAGGAGTGTCCTATGCAGCATCACTACCCCCGAGTCAGGACTATGGCTCTGCACGTAGTAGGTTTTCAATGACCTCGTCGGATGAATGAACAAGCGTCGGGGCACGTAGTCTCTGCTTCCAGGGTGTGTGGGCTGAACGGGGTCTTCCAGAAAGGAGGGCTCACGTCCCCCCCGCACCCGTGAATGTGACCTTCTTTGGAGACAAGGTTTTTGCAGATGTCATCAAATTAAGATGCGATCCTACTGGACCAGCTGGTGGACCCCTTCTAAGGGGAGGGGATTTGGACACAGAGAAGCACACGGGGAGAAGGCAGGAGACAGAGCCCGGGGTGACGCCCCTGCAGGCCGGGATGCTGGGGTTGGCGCCCGCGTCCAGGAGCTGGAGAGAGGGACCCGGAGCAGAGTTTCCCTCCGGAGGCTCAGAGTCACGCCTGCCGCCCTGAGTGTGGTTCTGGGCCCCGGAAGGGCAAGAGAACACATTTTGTCACAAGGCGCCCGGTTTGTGGCGAGCTGTTGCAGCCGATGTAGGAGACTGGCACGCAGGGGTTAACCTCCTCGTTAGGAAGACACGGAACCGGCGGATGAGAAGGGTTCCAGCCGTGAAGAGTGAAAACACCGCACAAGCCGGGCCTTCCAGCCCCACCATCTGCCTCTGCGTCTGGCGGCCCCTAAAGCCGGGGCGCGTGCGGAGCGCAGTCGGCCGAGAAGGCGGCAAAACCCCATTCCCAGCAGCGCCGCTGTGCTCCTGGGGGCCGTGAGGGGTCACCAGAACCAGCCAAAGCATTTAAAGCCTGTGATTGGGAGCGGGTGGCCAGGGGTGGGTGGGTGGGTGGGTGGGTGTGTGTGTGTGTGTGTGTGTGTGTGTGTGTGTGTGTGTGATTATCTTCTTGTTAATTCCGTAAACCTTCAAAAGCACCGTAACTCCAGCTGAGAATTGCTGGGAGACTTAAGACACAGCCGGAAAGGGGAAAACCTGACATTTTCTATGTGGGAGTCTCATCTGTTTATATCAAAATATGGTCAATCCCATAGGATACAGACACACTCAAGAAAATCATTCTTTCGTATTCCTTGACATAGTCATTTGTGGGTCTTGACCCTAACGCACCCATCTTTGCCGACTCGGAGCCCACGCACCTAAGTGGTTCTGTCTCGTGTTTGGCCTTGAAGGTCTTGAAGGTGTGTGCACGTGCTCATCTGTGACTAGAGTCCGTCTTGCACGTCGTTTAAGCAGCCTCCCGCCCCTCTGTCACGCCACTGCTCTATGGTGTGTCGTCCAAGGATCGAAATCCTAAGGCCGTAACAAAAGGCTGAACACCCTTTCCACCTCCCTCCTCCAGGGGGTTCTGAGGCCCCAGAGATTCTTAGCCTCTTGTCAGAGAAGAAGCGGTTGTTTTGCCTCTCAGGCGTCTTACAGAACTTACTGCCTCAGATGTAGCTTTTAGGATGATAAATGGAACATAAAACAATAAACATAAAACAAGCATGCAGCTCTTAGTTTTGAGTGGAAGGATTATAGTTGGAGCCGTTTCGAGCCAGGCGTCCGCGTGAGTCGGGAGCCGGCGCCGTCATCAATTCTGGAAGAGCACGCGCAAACGGTGTGTGCGACAGCCAATTTGCTGGCACAAAAATTTGAAAATGAATGTCGGATTCCCCGGGGCGGACTGGCTCAGTGGTCTTGTAGGGGAAGGGAGACCGCTGAGCTCATGCCCAGGCCACCTCACAGGGCACCTGGCGGGGCCACGGTGGTGGATGATGAGGAAGCAATGTGTCTGCAGAAAAGACGCCCAGGGAGGTGCGTGTCACGGACACCTCGTGGGCTCGGGGAAGGGGGTGGAGAGATTGTTGCCTGATGCTGTCAAGGTGCTGAGACCCCCGTCCGGTGAAGCTGCCTGCTCTGGGCTGGGGGGCAGGGGCATTGAGGGGAGTGGTGAAGACCTGGCTGACGGTGTAGTCAAGTCTACACTTACTTGGACATGAACCTGGGCCGCGCTGAGAGCGGACAGCCACGGGACTTCTCGGTGGCACAGAGTGGGGCGCCAGGGGCGTCTCCTTCTAGGGCTTCTGCGAGGAAGAAAGGAGGTGATCTGTGTAAGAGCTCAGCCCCGGGCCTTCCTGAAGCTGCTTCTTCTGGAATAAGCCTGTGCTTGCTCAGCGTTTCCGAGCCGGGCTCTGTACCTGCCGCCGGACACCCCTTGACAAACCAGTGTTCCCACAGCAGACGGCCGTCCACCTTGAGAGCTCCCTCCGGGGAATGTCCCCCTTCCCTCCTTTTCCTGGGACTCTGAACTTCTGTCTCACCGCTGATGCCTTCCCCGTATTCATATCAGTTTTCAACAGACATAACTCACTGCTTATGCTAGAGCAACAGAGATTCAGCAGCAAGTCACATTAGACTTACTTAAAAAAATATATATATGATCTGTCATATCATATATATATATATAGTGCTCACTTCCGCAGCACATAGGCTAAAACCGGAACAACACAGAGGTTAGCAGGCCCCTGCATGAGGATGGCACACAAATTTGTGAAACATTCCATATTTAGAAAAACATAAATACATAATATATATGGTTGCCCACTTTTTATTTCATATGTAGGGGCTTTTTAAAATTAATAGACTTTGTTTTTTTAGAGCGGCCTCAGGTTTACAGAAAAGTACAGTGGGAAGTGCAGGGTTCCCACCCCCCCGCCCTCCCCTCCCCACCCAGATTCCTCTCTTACTAACTTCGTGCAGGGGTGCAGAGTATGACAGTGGATGAGCCAATGGGATACATTGTTATTAACGAAGCCCCTAGCTCACGTTAGGACTCACTTTCAGTGTTGCACATTCTATGGGTTTGGACAAATATGCAGTGACGTGTCCACCCTTACGAGTGTTTTCCCTGCCCTGAAGTTCCCCTGTGCTCCCTGTATCCATCCCCCCTTCCTTCCTGAGCCCTTGGCAGCCACCGATCCTTTGGCTGTCTCCATACTTCTGCCTTTTCCAGAACATCATATACTTGGAATTACACAGTGTAGAGCCTGTTCAGCTTGGTTCCTCCCACTTAGCAATGGGCTGAAGATTCCTTCGTGCCTTCTTAATGCTGAGTAATATTCCACTGTCTGGATGGACCACTGGCTGTTTATCCAATCACCTCGTGAAGGCCGTTTTGGTTGCTTCAGTGTTTGATGGCTATGATTAAGCTGCTATGGACATCTGTGTGCAGGTTTTCGTGTGGTCATAAGTTTTCAGCTCTTTTGCGTAAATGCCAAGGAACATGACTGCTGGTTTGCGCAGTAAGAGGGTGTTTCGTTTTGTAAGAACCCACCGAAGGAATGAAGAATTCTTTGCCATCGTACATCTTCTCTGGAGAAAAAGTGTCTGTTCAAATCCTTTGCCTATTTTTAATCTTTGAAAATCAATTTTAGCAAGGTCCCAGGAAATAAAGTTAATATATAAAAATCAATTACATTTCTGTATCCCGGTGATGAGTAGTTGGAAATCAATATTAATCATTTATAATATCCCCCAAACAACTGAAGTGCTTAGGCATACATCTAATATCTGTGCGGGGTCTATTTACTCAAAACTGTAAAATGCTGATGAGAGAAATCAAGGAAGGTCTAACCAAGTGAAGAGATAGACTGAGTTTATGATTTTGAAACATGGACTATTAAGGAGATAGTTCTTTCCAAATTTATCTATAAACGCTGCACAAGACTAATCAAAGGACTAGCAGAACTTTTCATAGATATTATCCAGCTGATCACGAAATTTATATGGGAAGGCAAATCAGCTTTTGGTTCTTTTGACTTCGCTTTGCTATTTTGAACTTTAATGATACATCTTTATCTCTATCTCTATCTTTATCTCTGTCTCTATCTTTATTTTTTCCTTCTTTCTGTCTGAGTTTAATTTGCTCCCTTTTTTTAAGGTTCTTAAGAAACCAAAGATAGAAGCCGAAAGTATCAATTTGAGATCTTTTGAAAGGAAAGACTTCCCACTGCATTTGAGATGAGTGCACCCTCCTGACTCCAGCACAAAAGTAACGGCAGTAACCATTTGAGAACCCACCGCATGGCAATGGCCGCGCCAGCTACTTTCAAAGTTCCCTTTCCCCCCAGACTTTGGAGGGTCTGCTGTCCACAACGTTTCAGCAATACTGGTTCGCGTGTGTATTTCTCATGACCGCACTGACTGCATAGAGAAACTGAGGCTTCTATGCAACCTGGCCACGTCTCCCCGGGGTAGAGAGACTGAGATTAGAGCCTAATCGAAACTCATGGTGTACTTTTCCAGTCATCGCATGGGTTTGTCCCACAGTCTTTGTGTCAGCCCTGCGCTCGCTCCCTGGGGTCACGTGGTGAGGGACAGCAACGTGATTCCTGCCCTCAGAAACTTTCTGGCGAGTGCAGGAGAGGAGGCAAAACGCAATTAGGCGAACAGTGATTTGAGCCGTGGCATCCGGTAAACGATCCTGCAACATTAATACTGTTCTCTGCTTCCCAGGTTTATTTTGATGTTCTAGATCGCCGATCAGGAAAAGTCCTGGACAATTCCTTGATTTTCAACATTAGGATCAGTGATGTGAACGATCACGCACCCCAGTTCCCTGAGAAGGAAGTTAGCCTCAATGTGAAGGAGAGCCATGCTGCAGGTGTGTGAGGTGGGGGGCCTGTCCACTCTGGTCCATAAAGGTTTTTCCTGCTTTGATTTTGGGGGGGGCTCTTGATCCTAGCTGTCCTCAGGGAGACGTGCCCTGAAGGTCGCAGGCCCTGGATTGCAGCGAGATGCTTGGAGGTCTGTAAGCCTCATTTTGTACTGGCAATAAGATGATGTGGAAATCATGTCCGTCCGAAGAGCTGATATGTAAAGACCAATCTAAAATAAGCCAGATGCAACGAGGCAGAAAGCAGGGCTGAACGGCGGGCTCCCGCATGTTCTCTGTAAATTTCTCGCCTGTAAAATGGCAATGAGATGACATCCAAAGTTTCTGAGCTGCAGATTCTGTGAATCTTTAAATCCAAACCACTCTTTACTAGAATGTGCATGTATTTTAATAACAAAAAAGCATTATTTATTTCACAAAATAGTCTTTAGAAAACTCGGAAAATTCCAAGAAGTTAAGACTGAAATAGAAAGCCTATTTAATACTTCCAATTAGAGATGAGTATCATTAATGTTTTAGTTTATATTTTTTTAAATATTTTTCTTTGTATTTTATATATGTGTGCATGTAAACACACTGTATGTTATATTTACCCATGTGTATATATTCCTGGATTTTTATATATAATTACAAATGCGTATATGTATACATATGTACATTTTTCATCTTTATCATAGCATAAAATGTAGATGGGTTATACTAAATATTCACAAATGTACAGGTGTGTGTTTTTACATGGGTAGATTTACATGGGTAGATTTATGAATTTTCTTTTCTAAAAGTGCAATTCTGCTCTTTGTAAACTGATGGTGTTCTCCTATAGCATCTTGTTGTATAAAACTTATTTAATGGACGTGTTTTATGGTAACTAATCTCCCATTGTTAACACACGGATGCTTTGTCCCCACTTTGTGTTATTTTCCCAAAATATGCTTCCGTGAATGGTTTTGAGCTGAATCTGCATCCCATTCAAGCATCATTTACTTGGCATAAGCGCAGAGAACGGCTGCACACACAATTTAAGTATTCTGCTCTGTTCACCTCCCAGCACGTCCCAGGGGGCCTGCCTGTGTTCATCTTTGATTATTAAGTGCTTGCATGTATTGGTAGGTTTCTTGTCCATTTCTGTTTATCAGATACTTGTTCCTTTGTCTACTTCCTGTTAGTGTGCCTGTCATTTTCCTTCTTGATTTTAGCCTTATTCTATGTTAAGAATGTTTATATCTGCCTTGTATATGTTTTCCTGGTTTATCATTTCTTTTTAAGTTTTGTCTGTAGTTTTTTCGGCCACGCATTTAAACATCTGTCTGATCTGTCAATTCAGTCTTTCCTGTCTCCTGCATTTGCAATCGTGATGAGAAAGTTCTTATGACTATTTAAATATTCCTCTTTATCTTTTTATATTATGTCAATAGTTTGATTTTGTAAATAATCCGTTCTGGTGTATGCCTCCATGCCATTTAGCAAAGGGATCGTCATTCTACTGGGCTGATGGGCTGCCTTTGGTCAATGGTAACCGTTAAAACAATTCTTTCCAGGTCAACCTATTTTCCAGATGTTAACAGTTGATTTGGATCAAGAAAATACTCTAAATTCTCAAGTCCTTTATTCCCTTATTTCTCAAACGCCATTACTGAAAGAAAGTGGCTTCCATATTGACCATATCAGTGGAGAAATACAACTCTCAGGATGCTTGGATTACGAGGTTATGTGGATTTTATTGTTTAAAAAAATGAAATGTGTTTTCTATCTCTGAGCCCCAGACTTAGCATTTATGTTTGCAGTGGAAACCCCTCTGTGGCTGGGCTTGCTACTGAGATTGTGATAATGGGTTATTTTTTTAAATTGATACTTCCCTTTGCTGCATTTGAAGGGATTTCATTTCCTCCCCACATAGATGGCTCCTCGGTTTACACTACTGGTCCGTGCGACGGATTCTGGAGAGCCACCGTTGTCATCCACAGCCACGGTTCACATCAACGTGGAAGAAGGCAACAACCACATGCCCACATTTGCCCAGGAGAATGTAAGGCACCTAGGCTTGTCCCGAATGCCAAGTCCGTACATAAATGGCCCTGAGTCCTAGGCTCAGTCTTGTTGAGGGAATTGGCCACAGTCCCCCAAGATGCATGGCATTCTCCAAAATAACGTAAACTAGAAGGAAGATGTCAGCCAGGCTGATATGGAATCATTCAATAATAGACTGGGGAGCTTCCTTTTATTTTTTATTTATTTATTTTTACTATTTTGTGCCAGAAACTGTGCTCAGAATGTTTATATGCATGCTTTCACTTCTAATGGTTGGGACCAGCATGTGATTCCCGTTTCATAGATGAGGCCACGGAAGCACAGGGAAGATAGAGAATCCGTGCTCACCGTCCACGAGGTTTTTCCACTGCATATTGTTGACGTGGGATGGGAACTTCATGGTCGTAGGGCCAGGGGAGGCTGCCCGGTGCATTGTCTGATGTTTAGTAGCATCTCTGACCTCTACCCACTCGATGCCAGTGGACCTCACAGTTGTGACACCCAAAAAGGTCTGCAGAGATTGCCCAAGGTCCTCTGGGAGGGCAAGTTCGTAAGAATCTAGACCTGAGCCTTTAACCAACATCCAGAGCTCTAGACTAGGGAAGGTGAGCAGGTAGGCTCTGGCTCTGTCTTTCTCAGCTCATCTGCTCTGTAGATTGACATGGGATTTCACGGGCTACACCGCCCCATGCGTGAAGAAAGCGTGGAAACCCAGACCATTTGGAAACGCCATGCCACTTGAGATCTGCAAGATTACTAAAAACACACAGGATCTGTTCCCTATTTTGTATTTTGTACTCTTCCATATGAATTTTTCAGAGAAAAATGTCCATTTTACTTTTTTCTCCTGACCTCTCTCAGTGAGAACTTTCTGGAACACCGAGTGAGATCCCCAATCTAGCACCTCTCCCTCCCACACCCCAACCCAACACACACACACACACACACACACACACACACACACACGCACATACAGTCTTAATCAACTGTTCCTTGGGGATGAAGTTTTGCCGATCCTATTCACAACACCTAAGACAGAATCGGGCACATCAAAGCCTTTGTTGAATAAATAAATGCTACAAACAATTATTTGAAAAAGTATCATTTAAAATGTATATATTTATTTTTTCATGTTTATTTATTAATTTTGCGAAAGAGACAGAGCATGAGTGGGGGACGGACAGAGAGACAGGGAGATACAGAATCTGAAGCAGGCTCCAGGCTCTGAGCCTGACACAGGGTTCGAACTCACAAACCTTGAGATCATGACCTGAGCCGAAGTCAGATGTTTCAACTGACTGAGCCACCCAGGCATTCCCCAAAATTGTTTAATTGCATAGACAAGGGGCGCCAGGCCTGCTCAGTCAGTAGAACATGAGACTCTTGATCTTGGGGTTGTAAGTTCAAGCCCCATATTGGGTGTAGAGATTACTTAAAAATAAAATCTTTAAAAGGAAATTGTATAGACCAAAGCTGAAATGTTTTCAAATAAAAATACCTCACGAAACAGTATAGAATAATACAATAATACAATAATAATAAACAATACTTATTATGTTTCAACCTTGTTTGAAAATCTTTCTCTGGTTTAGTAAAAAGCAGACTCTAAAGTAAGGGCAGGGAAAATACATGCTGTTTAGATGTACTCGTCGAAGAGAAATTATCTTGTCACCTAAGTATTGAGTAACAAGCTCAAGATCCATATGTGTTAGAAAGATGATTGCCATAATCTAGTGACTGCAAGAGTTCCATTTTAGGAGAAGAGCTAGGGTTTTTCTTAGCAGCATAAGCTAGGATGTGTTTTATTATTTTAAATATTCTTAGAAAAATAGTGCATTGAGTTGGATTTAAGAGCACTTTTTTTAAAGTCATTCAGCTGTAGACACAAGTCACAGGGAAAAGGGAACAGATGCAGGACCTGGCTCTGCTGGATCAGGCAGAGTTTCAACTCGCTTGAGGTCAAGTTCAATGGTAGGAGAAATAAATACCCATGTTAAATCAAACTCAATGCACTATTTTCCTAAAATCTTTAATATCCATGTTGTGGTGTATTTTTTTCTGGCTTTCTTTTTCAACTGGTCTCTTTATCTCCATGACATGGAAATGACTGTTGTCTCTCCCAGTATAAGGTTCAGCTTTCCGAAGGCCGCTCCAGCCAGGGTGTGCTGCGTCTCCTGGTCCAGGATGGGGACTTCCCATTCACGTCAGCTTGGAGAGTAAAATTTAACATATTGCATGGCAACGAAGAGGGACATTTTGACATTCTGACTGATCCCAAGACCAATGAAGGGATTTTAAACGTTGTCAAGGTAAAGCATCGGGAAATGTGCACCTGCCCTTGGCCGCAGGTGTTGAGGCTCCTTTTCGGCAGGAGTCCTGATAGTGTGATGCCTGCTGTGTGCTAAGCACATGAGGTGTGGTGTGTCATGTGTCCCCATGGCACCCGGTGAGGAGGGCAGGCTGTCACAACCCCCTGCTGCCATGGGCTCTCGGCCCTTTGGATTTTGTGGCTCCTCTAACCAAAAAAGTATCGATACTAAAAGTTAGTTTTCTGAGTGGTGTTAAATGAAAGCTTCAACATTTACTTTTCTTGTTGTTTGAGACAAAATTTAATAGATCGATATAGGCCTGCCCTCAAACTTTTTTTTTCTGATGTGATAAAAATATTCAAAACATTTTCTCTAATCCTTAGAGTTCATCTTTTTTTTCTTCCTCCTGAGTTTAAAAGACATTAGGACATTTGCACGGACCCCTAAAAGTATCGTGGGCCCCCAGCACTTTGCTGGGTGCCTGTGGAGGAGTTGGCCCTACAGGAAAGTATATTATTTTCTCATTTTTTAAAAAAGTGTTTTTAAATGTTTTAATTTCTTTCTGAGAGAGAGAGAGACAGCATGAACAAGGAAGGGTCAGAGAGAGAGGGAGACACAGAATCCAAAACAGACTCCAGGCTCTGAGCTAGCTGCCAGCACAGAGCCTAATGCGGGGCTTGAACCCACAAACTGTGAGATCATGACCTGAGCTGAAGTTGGACACTTAACCAACTGAGCCACCCAGTCACCCTAGTATTATTTTCTCATTTTACCAATAAGGAAACCAAAGCCTAGAGAGGTTGGGTTGTTTTCACAAAGTCACACGGCTGGAGTAGGCGTCCCAACCGAGGTGGTCTGGCTCCATTGCTTTTAGCCTTACTCTCAACTGGACTCTGATGTGACCTGGTACCCGGCTGGCGAGTCAGGCTGGAGGTCAGGCTCACAGCCAGCCCTGAGTCGGTAGGTCTGGGGTGGGGCCTGAGCTTCTGTCTCCAGAGGAACAGGTTCCTGGTGGATGCCCACGGGACCTGACCACGCTCTGAATAGCAGGGCTCTGGGGTACTGTGTCCCAGATGCCCAGGAATGAATATTTCAAATAATTCCTGGCTTTTCAATCCTTTTAAGGCACTGAGCACTCTGCACCCTGAGTAACTATGACCATTAGTATCTGTATTTCTTTAAGCTTCCCTGCTTTTTTCTTTTTTTCCAGCAGAGTCATCACATTAATGTTTCATTAGGTGACGGTTTTTGTTGCATTTTTCATGCCCCTCTGATGGATGGCGGCTGTTTTCAACCAGGAGAGGGGCAGGGAAAAACAGAACTCCGTAAATGATTTGAAAATGAGCTGGCCACTGTCTTTTGATCATTACTAAAGGCAGCATAAATGATAAATGAGGCACAAAGGCCACACGCTCTGGGTGACAGCGGGAGCCTAGCTCTCTCCGGCCAGAGAAGCAGCAGGTGCTAACCGGACCCTCTCTCTGGGACTTGCAGCCCTTGGATTATGAAACTCACCCCATGTGGCGCCTCATCATCATGGTGGAGAACGAGGAGCCGCTCTTCTCCTGCGAGGGGGGCCGGCTTCGGGAGCCCCGGGAGGCGGCGGCCAGCGCCACGGTGAGTGTGCAGGTGATGGACGCCAATGAGCCGCCGGCCTTCCACCCCAGGAGCTTTGTGGTCAGCGAACTTGATGGCGCCGGGCCTGGGATTCAGCTGGGGACATTTAACGCTACGGATCCAGACCGAGCCGCCGGCCGGATAAGGTGAGAAGAGCCGCAGGGAAGGGAGGTCGCTGACGCAGAACCAGCCGCACGCCCGAGGGTGTGGCTGATGGAAAGCTGCCCTCACTGCGCTGGTGACGCCGACCCAAGACACCAGGAGGCCCGCAGGCCCGGGTTCAATGCCATCTTCCTCCCATAGCTTCCCCGGAGCCCACCAGGTGGGGTTCACCTGCTCATCTTCCTTTGTTCTCAGCGTACATCGCTTTGATACTGGTGTCCTCGTATTAAGATAATTTGTTATGCATTTCGATCTCCCTTTTTACTAAAGGCTGTAAACTGTCAGCCCCTCTGGTTTCTGGGCAACGAAAGTGGTTGGTATTTTAAATTGTGGTAACATATATCTAACAAAAAGTTTACAGTTTTAACCATTTAAAAAGTTTTTAATGTTATATTTATTTCTGAGAGAGAGAGACAGAGAGACACAGAGCATGAGCAGGGGAGGGGCAGAGAGAGAGGGAGACACAGAATCTGAAGCAGCTCCAGGCTCTGAGCTGTCAGCACAGAGCCCAATGCGGGACTCGAGCCCACAAACTGTGAGATCATGACTTGAGCCGAAGTTGGATGCTTAACCAACTGAGCCACCCAGGCGCCCTCCGTTTTAACCATTTTGTTTTGTTTTGTGACGTATTTATTTATTTATTTATTTATAGACAGTGGTGGGGCGGGGCAGAGAGAGAGGGAGAGAGAATCCCACAGAGCCCCATGTGGCGCTTGATCCCATGAACTGTGAGATCATGACCTGAGCTGAAACTAAGAGTCAGAAGCCTAACCAACTGAGCTACCCAGGAGGTCCTCTGTTTTTCTTTTTAAAGATTATGTGTTTATTTTAGAGAGAGAGAGAGAGAGAGAGAGAGAGAGAGAGAGAATCCTAAGCAGGCTCCGCACTGTCAGCACAAGTCTGACTTGGAGCTCATGACCTGAGCCCAAATCAGGAGTTGGACGCTTAACTGACTGAGCCACCTGGGTGCCCCACATCGTAACCATTTTTAAGTGTACAGTTCGGGAGCACTAAATACATTCACATTATTGTGCACCCGTCCCCACCGTCTGTCTCCAGAACTTTTTGATCTTACAAAACTGAAACTCTGCCTCCATGAAACGAGACCCCCGTCTTCCCCAGACACTGGTGGCCGGCACGCTACTTTCCGCCTCTATGGATTTGACTGTTGTAGGAACCTCGTAGAAGTGGAATCATACAGTGTTTGTCTTCTTGTGGCCTGTGTCACTGACTCCTCCAGGGTCGACCACACGGTGGCACGTTGCAGACCTTCCTTCCTTTACAAGTCTGAGTAATATTCCCTTGTCTGTACGGACCACACTGTGCTCATCCACTCTTCCGTGGTGTGCACTTGAGTGGCTCAGTGTTCTGCTTTTACAAATAAAGTTGCCGGAGTCCCCGGGAAGACGGCAGAGTTGGAAGTAGCAGGAATGCCCCCCACCCCACCCGACCGGTGCTCTGGGAGAATCTGTCCCACGTTCCTGTTCTGGACTTGGGATTCTGTTGAAGATTTGCAACCAGGCTTGGATGGGAGACTGAGGTTAATTTTGGTCCATTATGGCTCTTCGCGCACTAGCACGGTAGCAGGCAGCCATGCACGTGCCCCTGGAACAGCCAGGCATACAGTCTGCAGGAGCCAAGGTGGCCACCAAACACTCTGCCTTCCCAACACCAGCGATCTGTGCTTTGCTCACCGCCTGCTGCATTGGGTCCCAGAGGAACAGACAAAGAGGTGGGCGGCCATTGTTCCCCGCCCCATCATTACAGATCCCCTACCCCCCCTCAGCTAAAGCTGCTTCGGGGGATTTGAAGGGCAGATGCCTTTATTCCACCCTCTTCATTTTTTGCTCTTTCCTATTTTAGCAGCCAGACGTTACAGGCCAGGAGGAAAGCACCTATAGGAGGAAAATTAGAAAGTGACCACGCACGCCCGGGGAAAGCTCGGGGAAAAGGTGTGAGGGGGCAGGAAGAGAGACGTTCAGCCTCAGCACAGAGACAGCCTATGACAGTCAGACAAAAATAAAATAAATAAAAACAATAAGGAAGATCAGAAAACTTTGGGAAGGGGGAGAATATGATTTCCAGGGTTACCACATTATTAGATCCAAATGTCCAGTGCTCAAGGGAAAGAAAAAACCACAAGGCACATGAAGAAACAGGAAAGTAAGGCCCATTCAAAGGGAAAAATATAGATCAACAGAAGTTTTCCCTGGAAAATACCTGATGCCAGATGGGTTGGACAAAGACTTTAAAACCGCTGTCTTAAAAGTGCTCAAAGAGATACGGAAGCCTTGGTGGGGGAAGAAGTTCAGAGACGATGTGTGAACACCATGGAAATGTCGATGAGACAGAAAACAACCAGAAAAGAGAAAGGTGATGAAGGATTTCCTGTAAGATTTACTTCATACATTTACAGATCATACTCTTTAATCAAAAGACGGAGATGGACAGCTTGTGTAAAAACATATGGTCTGGGGGCACCTGGGTGGCTCAGTTGGTTGAATGTTGGACTCTTGATTTCAGCTCAGGTCACTATCCCAGGGTTGTGGGATCAAGGTCTGAGTTGGGCTCTGTGTTGACAGCACAGAGACTGCCTGGGGTGCTCTCTCCCGCTCTCTCTCTCTCTCTCTCTCTGCCCCTCCCCCACTGTGCATGCTATCATGCTCATGCTCTCTCTCTCTCTCTCTCAAAATAAATAAATAACTTAAAAAAAACCCATGTGGCCCAACTGGATGCCATCTACAAGGAACTCACATGAAGATCCAAATACACAAACAAGTCCCCGGACACTGTACACAAAAATTAGCTCAAATGGCTCAGGACCTAAACGTAAGACCAAAATTGATAAACATTCTCAGAGGAAAGCATAGGAGAAAAAAGCTTCGTGACCTGGATTTGGGAATGACTTTTTGGATGTGACACCAAAAACACGGATAACAAAGGAAAAAAGAGTCAAATGGGACTTCATGAAAATCAGAACGTTTTGTGCATTAAAAGACACTATTCATGGAGCCAAAAAGTGACCCACTGGTGGGAGAAAGTATTTGCAAGTCTTATATTGGATAAGGTATTGATATTCAGAATATATAGAGAACTCCTATGACTCAACATCAGAAAAACACAAACAAGCAGATCTCGAGGTGGACACAGGACTTGAATCGACATCTCTCCAGAAAAGATCTACGAATGGCCAATCAGCACATGAAAAGATAGGCAACATCACTAATTGTGTGGGAAATGCAATTCAAAACCACAGTGAGATGCCTCCTCACACCCGTGAAGATGGCTGCTATCAAAAAACCAGAAAACAAGTGTTAGTGAGGATGTGGAAAAATTGGGACCTTTGTTCATAGCTGGTGAGAGTACAAGTTGGTACAGCCACTGCACAAAACAGTATGGTGGTTCTTCAGAAAATCAAAGTAGAACACCATATGATCCATAATTCCACCTCTGGGTTTATGCTCCCAGAATTCAAAGCAGGGCCTCAAAGAGGTATTTTGCACACCCATGTTCAAAGCTCCATTATTCACAATAGCTAAAATGCCAAACCAACCCAAGCGTTCACGTAAGGGTGAGTGGATAAGCAAAACATGGTATATATATAAAGGAATGTTATTCAGCCTTAAAAAGGAAGGGAATTCTGTAACAGGCTACAACACGGATGAATGAAGACTTGTAGACTTTACGCCTAGTGAAATATGCCAGACACAAAGAGAGTCCACTTGCAGTTTCCCACATTACTTGGGACAGGATCTGTGTCTGGCGTGATATATATTGATTTGCCTTTTGATGTAACGTTTTAATTTTAAAAATCGTGTGTGTTTCCTTCTACAAGATACAAACTGGTTCACGATCCGGAGAATTGGGTCACCGTAGATGAACTCTCGGGAACTGTTACCACCAGGAAGCAAATTGACCGAGAATCCCCTTACGTGAATGATAGCTTTTACGTAATCATCAGTCACGCTATCGATGATGGTAAGTGTTGACCCGAAATTTAGGGGGGAATGTGTGTTTCCTGGCTTCCTGAGGGAAAATAATTCTAGTGAGAGCCTTTCAGCCCAACTTGGAAAACTATATAAAACTTTTTATCACCATGCACCTACTGACACATAATTTTTTAATCTTTATTTATTTTTGAGAGAGAGAGACAGAGACAGAGTGTGAGCAGGAGAGGGGAAGAAAGAGGGAGACACAGAATCCGAAATAGGCTCCAGGCTCTGAGCTGTTAGCACCAGAGCATGATGCAGGGCTCGAACTCATGAACCGTGAGATCATGACCTGAGCCGAAGTTGGGCACTTAACCAACTGAGCCGCCCAGGTGATCCCCTCCTTTTTTAAATACTGGCAACTATTTTTGATGATAATGTTTGAAATGGCAGACTAGGGGCAAATGCCAAGGGAAGAGGGGCAGTATTCATTCCAAAGAGATGATTAAGCCAATGAGGAAGCCACCGTCGGACCAAGTGTCTGTTCCATCTACACATAAAACAACTCTTCAGCTCTTCCCTAAAGCCAGTGGTGTGTGATAAATCCTTAGCACAGTTTCCCTATACTTGGAATGGCTTATAAGCTCTGGCAAATGTGACTGTATGGGGCAAATTTGTCATAAACCAGGCTGGGCAGTTCTTTGAGCCTATTACAATACTTTTGTCTCTGATCTCCCAAGGCTGAACTTTTAAACCTGCTGAAACATAAAGTTGAACAAATAACAACTTTCAAATAACTTTAATGAATTGCCTTGAAGGAAATCTGTGAATTTAAACCCAGGCTTTAAGAGAAATGTAGGGGTACATCCCATTTGTACGATTAATGAGTAGAATGTTGTTTAGGTTAAGAAGATATTAAATCTGTGTTCCCAATCAGGTTTTTTTTTTTCCATTCATTTTGAGTGAGAGGGGGCGTAGAGAGAGAAGCCCAAGTAGTCTCCATGCCATCAGTGCAGAGCCTCACATGGGGCTTGAACCTCTGAACCGTGAGATCATGACCTGAGCTGAGATCAAGAGTCAGATGCTTAACTGACTGAGCCCCCAAGGTGCCCCCATCAATCTTAAGTGAGGAGAAAGAAAGGGGGGGTCCATCTTCCAGGGACCTGAAGAAACAATGTAGTGGGGTCCAGAGGACCCATTACCTAGTGTCCCTGGGTGACTAACACCCTGCAAACTGTAGTGGTAACCGGGGTGCTGACATGGGCACAGCCAAGATGCAGCCCGTTTCTGTCACCACGTCACACTCGTTTCACTCCTGTCCCACCACTTCCTAACGCCTGGCATGATCGACACCCGGAAAAATGAATGATTCTATTCCACCTGGTTCTACAAAAGATTTCGGGGGGTGAGTGTTTTGTTCCTGTGTCCTTCTCAGATGTTCTGAATTTCCAAAAAAGCAGGAAAACAGGTAAAAGACCTACTGTAACGTTCACGACTTTGGAAGGGAAATGGAGTCGGTATTTCTGTGGAATGGCCATCTTCCCCGGGGGATGGCACTGCTCGCTTTCCAGGGATTAGTGCACACGGGGAGCAGGCGCTTTCATGAATAAGCAACTCCTCCTGGAATTCCTCTTTTCCAAGGCCTCCCGCCACTGACTGGGACGGGGACCTTGATGCTCTTCCTGTCCGACATCAACGACAACGCCCCCACTCTCCATCCCCGTTCTCGATACCTGGAGGTCTGTGAGTCTGCAGCGAACAAGCCTCTCCTCCTGGAGGCAAAGGATGGCGACCTGGAGCCCTTCGCAGACCCCTTCACCTTTGAATTGGACAGTTCCTGGAGGAATGCAGAAGACACATGGAAACTGGGGGGAAGTCGGGGTGAGTGTTCACACTGGCCAGGGGTAAAGGACTGAAGGCAACCTGACTCTCACAGGCCCAGGCAAAAAAGGAGTTTACTGGCTTGTGTAACTGAGAATGATGCAAAGTAAGCCTGTGCCCCTGTGGAGCTGGGTCTGGATGCTCAAGGGGCACAATGTGTGCCCCCACCGTGGCTCTGCCTTTCTCTGGGTTCCTTCAATTTTAGGCAGGCTCTCCTCTGGGCTGTCAGGGTGGTTGCTGGGAGTCCCTGGCAAGGGACTTCTATCGCTGTGTGACTTGGGTCACCTCCTAGGAGTTGGGAGGGACGGATACGTTGATTGACTCATTCTGAGCCCATGCCGGACCATGTTGGGATCTGGGCTTCATACCCCCTGACTCACCTGGGCTGAGGGTTCAGGAGGTGTGGCTCTCCCGAGGGAACACTGGGGTGCTGTTACCAGGGTGACCACTGGCATCCATTGTCAACATTCTCCTCTGAGCTTCTACCAGCGTGTCTGCGGAATGTGGCATGTGTTTTCGTTGAAACTGTGAGCTCATGTTTTCAGTTCCCAGAACTACAGTTCCCGGTAGTGAAACATTGAACTTTGCCCCAGAAGAGCTCTTGCCTTTACCCTTGGCTTCTGAGAGTTAAGCTCTAGGCCCCTGGGATGCCCTGCCTGAAAGGAGTGTCTCTACTTACCTGGGGTCTCATGCCAATTGGACCGGAGCAATGGGATTAGGCTGGGGGCTTTGGGTCCCGTGGGCATCCGTCAGTCTCTGAAAGTGCTGGAGACGGAGGTCAGCCATACGGGGGGCCAGCCAGGTTTACATGACTGAATCTTGATAAAGATTCTGGACACAAGGCTCAGGTGAGCTCCCAGGTTGTGGCATTGCTCCAAGAATGCTGTTACTTACCAATGCAGGAAGTGACGCCACACTGACTCCATGGATACTTCTCTGGGCTCTGCTCTATGCACTTCTTGCCTTGAATGATTTTAATCTCTATCCATTTGCTGTGAGAAACTGTAACTATGGGCAGACAGCCTTCAGTGAGTTCTATGGGTCCTTCTGAAGAATGTTCAAACCTGAGTGTGGTTGAGAAGCCACGGGCTTGCAGTAGGTGTCTGAAGTGGGGGTGGTCTTTCTCTCTGTCCCCTCTCACTTCGAAGCTGGCCAACTTTTGTACAGAGCCTTGGCACACGGTACGCACTTAGTAAGCACGTGCTGAACAGATGAGCAAATGAACAAGTGAATCCCAAGCAAGGTCCGTTTCCCTCTACAGGTCGGTCAGTTGAACTTTGGATGTCGAGAAGGCTCCCACCTGGGAATTACTTGGTGCCACTGTTCATCACAGACAAACAGGGACTTTCCCGGAGGCAGACTGTGCACGTGAGGGTCTGCTCCTGTCCCAATGGAGTCACATGTGTGGAGCCATCGGTCGCAGGAGCTGGGCTCCTCGTGGGGGCCCTGGTTCCTCCCTTTGTGGCGTTCTTCATTCTGGCAGGTCAGTGGTCTGCAGGGGTTGCCCTGGGGCTGCGGCCGCTCTCCCCAGCCTGTCAGCCGGCATGCGGAGTCCTCCCTCTGGGGTGGGGAGCAGAAGATGGCAGAGAGCAGTGGGATGCCTTGGGAATGACCCCTAGGCCCATCAGAGTCACGGACTCAGATCAGACTTTCCCAGCCTGATCGAACATGCAGCCTGGCTGGCGAAAGCAGCTTCTATTCAACAGGCAGCTACTGATAGCAGTGGAGCCATAGATGAACACTGTGGTCTGCGGTGACGCCGGGGCCGCTGTGTACAGATGTCTAGCCAGGCTGGGAGGAGGCTACTAAGGAAGCTAGATTTTTCAAATAAACAATACAATATTAGTGATCACATGATATTATTCAATCCGTTTAACCAATAATTATCTGGCACCTACTTGGGCCCATCCTGTGCTAATTCTGTAGCTACAGAAACGATTATGACGCAGCCTGGCCATGTCCCTTCATGGCCAGATTGTGAGTTATCAGAACCAGATTGTGTTGAAACCTCTGATGAAGGACTCACTGACCCTCCCGATCTTGTTATAGTTGCTGTGCTATTCCTGCTGCGATGCGATTGTGGGTCCGAAGCCAAGGGGCTCGGGAGCCCTGTCCCACACGACAAAGGCCAGCAGTCGCTGATCACGTATAACGATGAGAGCAAAGCCATCCCAGTGCAGGTAGTGGCGCCTGACGCGTCGTGTTTCATGCCGGTGACGTCTGTAATTCACACGCACGTCTTCCCATTCCTTGTGACCCTCTCGTCTCTCCACACTCACACATATTTGAGTAGCAAATGGGCAAAAAAAAAACTCCTATGAAAATTGTCCAACTCAACTACATTGATTTCTTGTGGTAGGTCAGTCATTCTCAACTAGGGGCGATTTAGCCCCTGGGTGACACGTCACAATGTCTGGGGACAGTTTTGATGGTCATAACGTGTTCAGGTGGGGAGACATGCTCTTGGCTTCTGGGGGGAGGCGGGGGGAGGCCAGGGCTATCGCTGAATGTCCCCTCATGCACAGGATAGAGAAGGGGCCCCAAGTGTCGGCGGCGCTCAGGTGCAGAATCCTTGCTTAGAGGCTGATGGCGTCCGCCAGGGGGAGCGTCCTAGATGGAGAGCATGTGCGGCAAACCAGTGAAAGGTCAGGGGCAGCACCGAGGCAGGACCCGGCCCTCTACTCTCACCCGGCCGAGGCCGAGCACAGGGCACAGAGCTCACTGGCCTGGCAGGAACCAGACCTGGGCTTCCCTTCTCATTCGCTTCGTCATGCTGAGCATGCCATTCAACTTCGCTTCCTCAGCCGCGAGCCGGGGATGGGAAAATCGACCTTAGAGATGGGCTGTGGATGGAGGACCTGCCCGTGAAAGCATATCTCCCTCCCCAAGACACACTTACCTGCTCGGCAGGTAACTGATGGTTTTCACAGCTGCTGATGCTGACACTGACCCCGCTATGCGTCCTCACAGCAGCCCCGGGCTGTGGTTGGCCTGACAGTGCAGTGACGGCACCGCGAGCTCTCCCGTCTGCCTTCCCCTGGAACTAAGGGATGCTTGACCTACAAACCGAAAGCCAAAGAAATGCGCAAAGGAAGCACCGTCTCTCCTGCCCGGCGGGTGTGGACGCCCCATCTTGCTGTTGTCTCCGATCTCCCCCAACGATTTTCTCCCGGAAGAATGAGACTTGTCACACCAAGTGAGACGCTTTTGGGAAAAGACAGTCCAATTCACTTTAGCATTACACTTGAGTAAACAGGGAGATGGTCTCAGAAGTGATGGACGGTTGGGGAAGTGGGGGTGACCCAGACCCCTTGGGCTCTTCTCGCATTTGCTCTGCCTTCCTCATGGGAGGGAAAGTGGAAGTGACTGCCTTGGGCCGTGGCGTGGGTGCACCTGCCTGCGCCCACAAAGGTCTGCTCTGAGCCTCCCTGGCGTGCGGTCGAGAAGGCAGGACAGTCCCCAGATGGCTGGACCCCCAGAAAAGTACCCCTGCCCCAGCAATGAGAGCAGCACTTCACTGTTTTGAATAGTTTGTGTAATTTGGAAAGGAAACCATCTTGACAAACAACAGTGCCTTGTGAGGCGGACAGGGTCCCTTGCCTTGGGCAATTCCACCCAGCGCTGATACCCGCAGTCATCCAGGAAAATGGGCATGGCTCCAGGCCGGGCTGGAGCTGAGGCAGCCGAGGTTGGAGGAGACCAGTGGGGAAGTCACCTCCCCAGGCACGGTCTGTGGGCAGAGCCCCGGTGGAGGAGGTGCTGATGGTGCTTGGGTGCTGTTCTTGTTGGCCAGCAGCTCGGTGGTTGTCTCCTAGGAAAGCAGAAGCAGCTAGGAAAGCAGTGTGTGTGGAAGGGAAGCTTGTTCATTGCGAGGCAGAGGACAGGCACGCTGGGCGGGGTCTGGTGACAAGATGGCCCCGGTCCAGAATCAGCTGTCAGATGGACAAGAGAGCCCCATCCAGGACATGGGGTCCTGTCCACGTCTTGTCCCAAGATGTCCTTCTCCGTGCCTCCTTCTCACAGTCAGGACGTGCCCCCACTTCTACTGTCCTCTCGTGAGGGCTCTGAGGCCTGGGATCCAGCAAATCTGGGTTTGGATTCCAAGCTTGTGGCTTATCAGGCACATACGCTAACTGATTATGGGTTTTCATACGTACAGAGAAATTAGCAATGTTCTCTCTCAGGTTTATTAGACAATTTAATCAAACATCAGGTGAAGCTTTTAGCCCTGGCTAGGGCATTGGCATTAAAAGTGGCTGCCAAGGGGCGCCTGGGAGGCTCAGTTGGTTGAGCGTCGACTCTTGATTTTGGCTCAGGTCATGATCTCACAGGTCATGAGACTAAGCCCATTGGGCTCCACACTGGGTTTGGAGCCTATCTGGGATTCTCTCTCTCTCTTGCTCTCTACCTCCCTCTGTGCCTCTCCCCCTCTCACATGTTCTCTCTCTCAAATAAAAAAAATAATAAAAGCGGCTGCCAATATGAGTATTATTAATATAAATTACTAATGATGTCTTTGTAACCACTGGTAAGTAAGGCATTTCAGTGTGTTCACACTTCTCCTCTGTTGCCCACCGCACACGAATATTCCACGTACATCTGCACACCCACGGGCATCTGTGTTCTCGGGAGGACTTGCTTCGTACAAGATGCCACTGCTGATCCCACCACCGTGTCGTGCTTTGTGGCTGGATGCCCAGATCAAGATGATCTGCAAGATTGGGGGCTGGCGGGCTCCAAGAAGAGAAATCCAACCCCAGCTATATTTGGGCCCTTGGTGGATATTTGTTGCTGAGGAATGAACGGGACAGCACACACGGCATGGCCCAGCCACCCCCCCCCCTCCCCCAGGGGCATCGCCATGAGCCTTGGAAGAGAATGAGCTTTGGATCAGAGGCGCTGTCAAAACAGGGGTCTTTCCCCATCATGCCCCGTGAGACAGGGGCCAGCAAGCAACTCCACCCCCCGACCAGCGATTCCAAAGCAGTTGTCTGGACTTACGGGTTGGGCATCTTTTCCAGAGTCTGGGTGTTTCCTGGGAGGGTGTTGATCCGTGTTGGGAATGTTATTCCTTGCTCTCTGCTTGTATCTCTGCCATCTGTGATTCCAGCCCCGTCTATTTCTTTCTGTGTGTCCACAGGGAAGGCCAGATGCCTGGGATCAGATGTTAGTGCAGCTGCTGAACACAGCCGAGGCGGGGGCCGCACTGGGTGCTGAGGTGAGCATGGCCTGGTGGCTGCCGAGGTTTAGGCCGAAGGGTGGCTCTGCGGAGGGTGCCCGCAGCAGGGAGCACCCACTTCGTATCCCAGGTGTCCCTCTGGGAGCCCGCCCCCTGCCTGCCCACACCCCAGCCCCACCTGCAAAGCCCCGTGACTCCACTCGACCCAGCAGGTCAACAGCGTCTGACAAACTTGTGCCCAGATTTCAGCCTGACCGCTGCCACCTCCACACCTTTCTGCCCCACGCATATGCCACCCGTACCAGCATCCTTTTCACAGTATTTCATTTTCTCAGTGGAGTTCTGTCTGGATAAAGCACATTTCTTTAGACAGGAAATTCTATATTTCAACAGTAAACAGAAAACGAGTTTTACCTGTATGAAGAGCCAAGAAGCGGAAAATAGACACAGTTGAACTAGAACCCCATAATTCTGGGTAGAAAAGGCCACCTGCCAAAGGCTCAGGTCTCTGAGCAGAGAGCCATGCTGTCACCAGGCAGAGCCTCCCCCCTCCCCCGCCAGCCATGCCCTCAGGAGTGTGGACGAGGAGTCAGAAGGGGAAGCGACATCTCACTATGCAACTTGACGCCACTTAAACCCCTGTCCTCACACTGAATTCTCCCCTTCCCTACGCAGTAGATGATCCCATTTCAAAGGACAGCGAGTTAATCCGGGGCTGCCATAAATTATCGAGCAGGTGGTTGGCCGGGGGCATCCCGCCTGCCAATCTGTGCCCCTGGGGAAGACTGCTCTGTCTCTCTTGCACACCTTGTACACCGATACTGTGTGAGCCGAGCCAGTGGGCCTGTTACCTTCCAGAGGCCAGAAGAGTTGCTTCTGATAAGCACAGAGACAGCTCGGACTTACGGAGTGTGCCCTAGGTGTGCACCCCGCAAGCACCGTCCGGCTGGCTCGTCCCCAGAACACCTAGGGGAGGGTCACCTTGCTCCCCGTCTATGAGGGAGGAAGCCGAGATCTGCCGCTTCTGCTTCTCCATGTGCCTCTGGGTTCCTTTCACCGTGTCTGCAGGTAGTAACTGCCTCTCTGGTTAAATGTGCTGCCATTCACATACCTTCCCGTAGTCAAGGCATCGCTTATGATTTATTGGGTAACCTGATATTTTAAAATCTGTGGCAAAGCATGGACTCTGTTAAAGGGTCCTGAAGATCCATTGCCTGCTTTAGTCTCTGGGAAATTTTGTTTCATTATCGAAGGGCCTAACAAAATACTAGACCCAAAGTAGAAAGTGCCGGCAGCCGCATCCCTGAATCCAGTTTCATTGGTCTGTATCACTGGCTAGGTCTTGGGCACGCACACCCTTGATTTTCGGGCATCTACAGTGTTATGTTCGAGTCCCGCCTACAGGCATGGCGAGCCACAGGCTGTTTCCAGTCTGCTCTTGCACTTCTCCACCTTTCCCTTTCCATCTTCTCGTCCTGACGCTAGCTTCTATTTTCACATGAGCGCGGAGCAAAGGAAAGGTGTGGAAGGACACACATACGTGCTTTGTTTGCAACTGGAGGGAAATGCGTTATCTTCTGAGTAAATCAGCACCCCCTCCTTCTGCTTCCCAGAATGTACACAATGTGCTCGCACCTGCGGTGAGGGTATCTGACCAGGAATACTTTGCCTTGGGGACTCCAGTGCATTACAGAAGTTCACTGCCTGTTGCGGTAAGAACTCCTAATGATTGACAGTTGGTTCCCTTGAGAGACAGCCCTTCTAGAAGATTCTGTGATGCTGGTAGAACAAACACAGTCAGTAAAAACCTTCCCATTTACCTAACTAGCTATGGTTATTGTTGGCTGTTAAGAGTTGTTATTTGATAGTTCTGATTAAATATGATGCTTTTTTAGGACACCCACAAAGAAATATATTTTCTTGTGTCCATCTAAGGGTACCTGAGAGAATCCATAATCAAATCCCCAATCAGATTTCAGCTGACGGAGCCCTGACACCCTCCTGCATCATGTCTTCATGTGCTCTATGTACTAATTCTAGAACTATTGCTCTGATTTTTAAAATAATTTTTCTGGGAGGAGCCTGGCTGGCTCCATCAGTGGAGCATGTGACTCTTGATCTTAGGATTGTGAGTTAGAGCCCCATGCTGGGGGTGGAGCCTACTTAAAAAATAAAATAAAATAAAATCTTAAAAATTGTTTTTTCTGAAATAATTGGCTTGCAAGAAGTTGTAAAAATAGGTCAGAGAGTTCCTGTGTATCCTTCGTGCAGCTGCCCCCAAGGATAACATAACCATAACGTTCTATCAAACCCAGAAAACGGACTTTAGCACAACGCTATTTTTTAAAAAATTTTTATTTAATGTTTATTTTTGAGAGAGAGAGAGAGAGAGATTGAGAATCTCAAGCAGGCTCCACACTGTCAGTGCAGAGTCGGATATGGGGCTTGAATCCAGGAACCATGAGATCATGACCTGAACCGTAATCAGGAGTCGGATGCTTAACTGACTGAGCCCCCAGGTGCCTGGGTCCAACACTATTAATACAAGTCTCAGATAGGGACCTTATTTGGACTTTGTCAGTATAACTAGGTATGATTTTAACAAAAAAGGTACATTTTTGACAGGTACTAAAAGAGGTATTTAAGGTCCAAAAAGCCACAATTTTTGTGATGGAAAACTTCCAGGAAAGAATTCAAGATCTCCATCATTTCACTCTCTTTCCTCAGGCTGTGTTTGAGGAAAATGTGCTTTTGCAAATGTGTCCCTCTGGCCCTGGGAAGGCCGGCTTTGTGGGCCTGGACCCGGTCAGTCACACAGGGCCCTTGCCCTGTGCTTGGCTTAAAGTCCTACTGTCACCATCCTGAAAGTCTTCCTATTTGGACAAGGTGCCCACATTTTCATTTTGCAGTGGGTCCTGCAAATTATGTAGCCGGTTCTGGGTCCCAGGGACGAATGTGCGTCATATGCAGATGTTGAGGCTACGCCCACGACACCAAGTGAGCCTTCCTAGGCCTTCCTGGGCCAAAGAGGGGGCTTGAAAATCTCATATTTTCATCCTCCCGCCTCACAGGGTGACCACAAGGCTTGCTTGTGGAGTCTTGCTGCGGCAGCTACGCCAGAGTGTGTCTTCAGTACCAAAGTTAAAAGCAATGTGATTGCAAGAATTTCTAGTTATACGTTTGCTTCCTTGGATAATTGATATGAAGCCAATAAACATCCCATCCTTGTTACTTTTATTTTACTTATTTATGTATTTTTCATCCTTTTTAAAATTAAGGGTTGTGACACGCCTTTTGAGCCAAGAAGTGGGAGGAACACATATTCTACTCTCGTAAGTACAGATGAGCGTGCCACCAGGGAGAGGGCTCCCTTATCTTGCTAATAGCTGGGGAAAGCCCTGAAAATGAGAACTTTGAGAAATTATGCCCAACTCCCAAATAAATGAAAAGGAGGCGTGAGTGTGGAAAATGAATAGAAATAAGTTAAAAAACCCCACACAGCTAGACTTGGAAGCACAGAGTTTTTCAGTCCCTGGCAAATTCCTTTTGCTGCCGAGTTGCTAAGAACTTGGCCTGAATATTCCTTTGCCATCGTCTTCACAGGCTTCCGGAAGGTTTGAGCTAAGGGGGCCACAGAGGGCCTCTGGTTTATTTCGTTCCCAAATCTTTCTAGAAGCAAAATTCTTCCATTCAGCCAAGATCCTGGGAAGAATGCCATTATAAGTGAAACAGATATGGGTGGCTTGTTATTAACGCCCGCTGTGAGTACACTGACGTTTGTAACATAGCCCCATGGCCAGAGCAATCAGTGGAAACAGTGGCTGTGCTGAAAATATAGAAGTCAGATGTTATGGACGAAGAGCACAACATTATGTTATCGTAGCACCTGATTCATTGCCCCACATTGTTGTAAATCGGGTGTTACAATGTCAAGAAAATTTGGATTTATGCCAACAGGCACTTTCGAATATTAAGTTTTTAGGTAGATCGATTTATAATATCAAGATTTCCTTTGATGAAGCAAACAGGGAATGAAAAGTTTCATTCAAGTTTATGAAAGCAAATTATGAACATGTTGCGGGGGGACTCAATTAAAAAGATGTAAACCCTTTTCCATTGTATTATAAAAATAACACTAGATAATATGTTCAAATAATTTGCGCATCGTTAAAACGAAATGTAAGCACTCTTGCTGGAGTGTCTTGGAGGTGTCGTGGCCCCGGGGAGACAGGCTGAAGCCAGTGTCTCAGTGCACAGGCCGGGCAGCTGCCCTGGTGGTGAGGGCGGGGGCACCTCTGTCTCCACTCGGGGCCCAGGGCTGGCTGGAGGCAGAATGGCCCCGAGCCTCCCTGGAGGTGGAGAAGGACCAGGGTCTGACCGGGGAGTGCCTGGCGAAGGGCCCAGGTGGCAGGAAGGGCCTCCATCTCCGGGAGCCAAACCCGGCTGGGCATCTCCAGCCTGGGCCCACGTCGGGGTCAGGCAGCGGGTCCTCAGCACTGTGTGTAGCTGTCTACACTTGCTCTCTGGCTAAGTGAGTTTAGCTCAGGTCAGTCGGTGTGATGTGGCAGGTAAGATAAGCGCGTAGATGTGTGTGTGTATGTATATGTGTGCATGTGACATCCCATATTTCACACGTCTTCTGGACGGCCACAAGTCCCCTACACTCAGGGAGGTGGCTGGAAGCCACTTCAGTGTCTTAAAACACAGATCACATCGAATGGCTGTCCAGTTTAAAACTCCCCAAAGAGCTTCCTGCTGCACGTGGGAAAAAGTCCGCGGCCTTGTGGCCCCGGCTCCTGCAGGATGTTCCGCTGGCCTCCGCCCGCTCTGGCCTCCGCCGGCCGCTCGGGCTCCAGTCTCTCCGTGCTCCCTCCCCGCAGGCTGCAGGCCTCTGCTGCGCCTTCCTCCTGGAAAGCCCCCCCCTCAGCGGGCCCTTGAGTTCCTTCCTCCTGTTTCCCTCCTCCTCAGAGGCCTCCCTGCCCCCCGCTGGGCGGGGACCCCCCCCCCCTAGCTCCCCAGCTCCTCACTCTTGTTCCTCTTCACCCTCGGGTGCGGCCCCGTACCCGTGTGAGCACCTTGCACTCACACCTTGCACTCACACCTTGCACTCACACCTTGCACTCGTGCCGCAGGCGCCTTGCCTGCCAGCCCCGCAGCGGCCCTGACTCCCAGATGCGGTTGTGCAGTCTGCGTGCTTACGCGCTTCCTCACCGCGGCGCCCCGTCCCTCGCCCGTCCCCGAGCCCCAGGTCCACAAACACTTGCCGAGTGAGTGAGCGAAGGGCGCCCGCCCCTGAGCCCTAGGACCAGGCCACTCCAGAATCCTCCTAAAGCCTTCTGGCTGGTTCCGCTCGGCTCCCGTCCTCTCCCCAAAGCCGCTGCCTCGAAAGGTCCTGCACCCGCGGGGCTCCCTCTCTCCTGACACTCTAACAGGGGAAGTGTGTGCAGGCTGCCCTCTGGCCTGGAGGTGGCCCTGTCCCTGCTGGGGGCAGCGGAGGTCACTGACGGGGGAGGGGAGCCGTGACGGGCCCCCTCCGTGGTGCGCGAATCCTGCTGGTTTGCTTTGCAGGTTTGGCAGGAGGCTGCGGTGCCCGGACGATGCCTGGAAGTGAGGGCGGGGACGATGGCGGAAACCCTGAGCCAGGTGGGGGGGCCTCCATCTGTCAGTGTGGCTTCTGCTTCTGCCTCTGACTTGAGGTCCTGGGACCCTGTTTGGTGAAGCCCGGTGACCCCTCTCCTGGCCGTGACGATGGGTGACAGACCAGGCCACGGGCATGCGGCCTGAGGAACCAGACCGTCACCGTCACCGCCTGGGGCCCGCCCCCTGTCAGGTCCCTCTGGGGCCCGGCCAGTCCCCGGGGTGGGAGCTCTGGCCTTGGCGAGGCCCCAAGGCCACGGGGAGCATGGTCCCTCGTCAGCCTAGCGGGACAGACAAAACCACAGATATTTTATTTTCTCCAAGTCTGGAAGCGAAAGGACATAGTCCAGGCGCCTTTGGGAGGCCTGCATGGTCGCGGCCGCCTCCCGGGGCTTCATCGGCCCGACTGCGGGAGGAGGGGACAGGGAGTGAGCCACCCAGACGGACACGTCTGCCCGTCTCTCCCTGTGAGGACAGGGCCGGTCACAGCTGACACATGGTGGCTGAGGTGAGGAGGGCAGAGCCCAGACCCAAGCCTGCGCCCGGTGGGCCCGCCGCGGACCCCTCTCCCTGAATGACCACCCCCGGCTGGAGCAACCTCGAGGGGCCCCCATTCGCCCACGTGTAAGGGAGACCCGAGCAGCTCACTGCACACCGGGCGGTGCTGGGCTGGAGTCACCCGCGCCTCAGGGTCCCAGCTGCGCCCAGTGGGCCGTGGGGACAGGCCAAAGGCGCCCGTCCCTCTGGGCCCGAGGAGGCCGCACTCGGCCCAGGACCGTCCTCCATCCGCCGGGCGGGAAGCGCTGTGCTCGGTGTCAGAGGAGGGAAGTGACAGATTGAAGGCCTGGTTCCTTCCCCGATGAGCCTCTGCCTTAGTTGGGGCTTTATGATGAATTATTGATCTTACGGGGCCTCTAAAGTCGCTGAATCAGGGCACAGGGGCCGCTGCCGTGTCGTGTCGTCGGCCTCGGGAGTTTTGAGGTTGAATTTGCAGGGCACGCACCCCGCTGCGGGCTCTGCTCTGTCTGCGCCCGCCGGGCCGTCCTTAATGACCTCTCCAGCGCCCCTGGGGGGATGTGGGGGGACGAGGCCGCGGCCAGAGCGTGTGCTCGTCACTAGCCGCCCGTGCTTCCTTCCCTCCCCCGCCCCCTCCCCCGGGGTGACGGCCACGCAGTGACCACAGTCCCCCAGTGCGTGGACTATCCGTGGGCACGTGTACACATGGGCTCTCGCTGAACACGGAGCCTGGGAGGGGGTCCCGCGGGCCCGAGGAAGCTGGGGACGCAGCCGGCGGGGGCCCTGGGGACAGGGGGGGTGTGCAGGCTCCCTCCACTTCCCCTCTCCGGCCTTCTCCCGCCTCCGCCTCCTCCTCGGGCTCTGGGCCCTCGGGTCCTGAATGTCCCCGTATCTGCTGTGAGCTCCCCTCTCAGCATCTGCCGCCAAACCCGCTCCCACCTGGGCCCACGGCCCCTCCCCGAGGGCAGGTGGGGGTCCGTCCAGCAAACGTGTAGTGAGTCTCTCAGGCCAGAACAAGCCAGAAAAGTCTTCACAGAGGGAGGCCTTGGGCCCTGGAGGACGAGCCAGAGTTTGCTCAGTGGAGGCTGGCGGTGCCGCTGCCGGGGGGGGGGGGATGAGGCATCAGGGTGCGGGTGGCAGAGGCTCGACCCCAAGGGGTGAAGGTGGGGGCGGGGAAGCCGGGACGCACAGCACCGTGAGCTCTCCCGGTCCCTCCCAGAGCAGCCGGGGAGCGGGAAAGTGGGCTCCCTCCCCTCGGCTGCCGCTTCTGCTTCTGAGTCTGTAGAAACTTCTGGGCCATCAGGGGACAAAAACAGCCTGCCCTGGGGCAGCACCCCCTCCCCCCCCTGCAGAGCCTGGAGAAAGGGACCCCCTGTGGAAGAGCCTGGCACTCACCTTCTCTTCCCTGGCTTTTCTGCAGAAGCTCTGTGGCGTTGACCCGCTAGCAGGTGACACTGGTCACCGGCCTCACATCTACGCGGAGGAGGGAGAGTGCGAGAGAGCGGAAAGCCTCAGCTCTCTCGCCTGCTCGAAGCCCGACTCGTGAGCGCCAAAGGCTGCTCCGCCCGAAGAAGCATGTGTGGGGTCCGGTGGCCCTTCCTAGAAAGCACGATTCATGGAGGGACCTCAGGGAGCCCACCCGCTGTTCAGGGGACTCCTTGTCTCCCCAGCCGTGCTCCTCCTTCCTGAGTCCCTCCTAGTCCTAAACCGACGACACACTGTGAGGCTGGATTCTGGCGTTTTCAGACCAGGCATCTTGAACCAAAACAAAACAACACGTTATGTTTTGTTTGTTTGTTTCTATAAATGTGACTTGCGGGACGGATTCTATAGAGAAACTCCCTCCTGTTAACAGCCCAGCTATGGGAGGAAATGAAATGATAATTTACAGATTAACCAGCAATTTGGTAACAACAGGTCAATACTGGGGAAAAATGAAAATAGATTGTTTTTAGTGATTATTTTATTTCTGTAAGTATGGCTCTGCTTCAGTTTAAGTAAAAAAATAAATAGGGAAATGTTTTTGGCATATTTGCGGGCAGTATTTTTAGTGATAGTCAAAAAACATACTAATTTCTTTTCACTTTTTGAGTAAAGAAATATGTTATCGTAAGAAAAAAGGTTATGCTTAACATTTTATAAGCAGTACATACTTTAAAACATGAATGGATATAATTTAACTTGTATTTATTATGTATGAAAGAACTTATATACATATGTAAGATAACTTAGTAGCCATGGAATGAATACATTCCAATTAGATTTTATCTTTAAGCAAAACACAGACTTGGGGCGCCTGGGTGCCTCTTCGGTGGAGCAGCTGACTCTGATTTTGGCTCAGGTCACGATCCCAGAGTTGTGGGGTTGAGCTCCGAGTTGGATTCTGTGCTGGTCATGGAGCTTAAGAGCCTCTCTCCCTCTCTGCCCCTCCCCCTCGTGCCTCATCTCTCCCTCTCTCAAAATAAACGAATAAACTTAAAAAAAGAAATATTAAAAAAAAAAAAACAAGCTGAGTTTTTACTTGTCCGCTCACTGCTAGTTTAAGTAAGTGTGTGTATGTGAACGTGTGTGTGTGTGGGGGGGGTAGTTCCTTTTAAAATTCTTTTTAAAAATTTAAATAGTAGGACATTTGCCCTGTGAAGAGTTTTCTCGTCTGAGTCCCAGATGCGTGTGCGGCACAAAAGGGAATGTGTGTTCCTGACACCAGGAAGCCCGCCAGACGGATCCCTGGACGCCTTATCCTGGACTCGAAATGAGGGAGATTTAAATATGTCTCATTTAAGCGGCAGCTCTTTCGGATTTTCTGCCTCCTGGGGAAGTGTAATGCTAACTGATACAAAGAAGGGACCAGGAGAAGCGAACCACCCAGCAGTATAGTGATAGTAACATAGCGATGGTGATAGTAACAGTAATAAAAACAAGATAGTTTTCTTGTGTAATTTTGCTCAGCCTTTTAAATGCTATCAGGACACTTTAATAAATATATTGACTATCTAAAAGTCTATGGCCAAAATTTTAAAAAATGTATATAATTGATGGGCATCGTCTTTTGTGAGTGCCCTCTGGCGCCCCGGGAAAAATCGGGAGAAATACATGTTTGCTGTGGAATCGGTGAAGTATTACGTTAAGCAGTTTTCGCTGACTCAGGGTTATAACTTCCCCTTCTTTCCGACGAAGCGGTGCCAACATGTACTTTACAGAAATCTCAAGTGTTTGTACCTGGTTACTTCACTCATCACCCGGTGCTCTGGGTCACGGAACAGGAAGAGAAACCAGCCTCAGAAACACTGGGACGTCAACGTGGTGCACGCGTGGGTAGAAGAGCCGTGCTAGTACTGCAACGATTCAGGAGAGAGTGCAGGGTCTTTTCTGAGTAATTTGGGATCAAAGTCACTTTTTAGAAAACTATGCCTTTTGAGACCGAATTGTTGCCAGACATCAGTAGGTGGCCATTGGACCTTCCTGGATCTGAGGCAATGGCCAGAAAACCACAGCAGTGGGGGCGGATATGGCCCGCCACCTGTTTTTGTAAATAAAGTTTTATTAGCACACATGATGCTCTTACACTGTCTATGTATTATCTACGACTGCTTTTGTGCTGTCGTACGGCAGAGCTGTACAGCCCACAAAGCCAAACATAGTTACAGAAAAAAACATGGCAACCCTTGTTGAAGGCATTTTTTTATTGGAAACTCCATATCATATCAAACATTTGTATTACATTTTTAAAATTTTTTAAGTTTGTTATTTTGAGAGAAACAGGGCATGCAAGCAGTGAAGGGGCAGAGAGATAGAGAATCCCAAGTAGGTTCTGGGCTGTCTGCACAGAGCCCAATGCAGGGCTCCATCTCACAGAACCTGAGATCATGACTTGAGCCGAAATCAAGAGTCAGATGCTTAACCGACTGAGCCTCCCCAGGAGCTCCCGTATCACACACTTGAGGATGTATCCGCATCCTGTGTTAAAAACAGACACACTGCCATACAGATTCTGAAAGGTTTTAAATAAGTTTGTTTTTGGCTATGGGCAGCTTGCTTCATTTACTCCTGGTTATGAAATCTTGGCAGCTGTATGTACTTGTGAATTCTTGCATTATGAGAGACTCTGCAACTAATTGTTTTCAAAAGTAATAAAATACTGATGAAAAATTCATGAACGCCGAATTTAACAATTAATGAGGAGAACAAAGTATTACATTTTGGAGATACTTAATTAGACATTTATTAATTTTAATTTTGCTGCTCCCTTAGTGTGTTCTGAAGCCAATAGATATATTTTTTCAGATCTTGACCATTTTCATGGGTCTTGAGGGTTGGGGGCATCGTGTCCAGTGGAGAAATGTTTGTGGAACACACAAGGCAGACAGCCTTGCCCTTTAGGATCCTGGTCTGTATTACATATGATCACTTTCCCTACCTGACATCTATAGGCGACATTATTCACGGATGTTCTCCCCACAAGTTCCTTCTCAAGTCTGTGTACGTGATTTAAAAGTTTCTGGGGCACCCGGGTGGCTCAGTCGCTTAAGCGTCTGACTTCGGCTCAGGTCATGATCTCGTGGTTCGTGGGTTCGAGCCCCGCGTCGGGCTCTGTGCTGACAGTTCAGAGCCTGGAGCTGCTTCGGACTCTGTGTCTCCCTCTCTTTCTCTGCCCTTCCTTGGCTCCTGTCTGTCTCTCTCTCTCTCAAAAATAAATAAACACTTAAAAACTTAAAAAAAATAAAAAGTTTCTATTAGAAACATTGGCATCAGGATGTTTTGGTGAACATGTGGAATTTACATATATTCGTGAACTAAATCAAAATCTTATTAATGGCAATGAAGAAGGCAATAAAACAGAAATAGTAAATATTTTCAGGGAAAATGTGATTTTATTAAGAACATTAGCCTCCAAATGACTTAGCAGTCCACAGACAGCTACAGTCTGGGAAGTTAAATATTTACTTTGCATCTCATCAATTTTGGTTTTCCATTTGCATTAACAGTCTCGTTGGTTTTATGGGCGCTTCTCAGCGGAGGTGTTTGTTTTGCTCACGTCTGTGATTCACTGAGCACGGAAGCCGTCTCAGCTGCTAAAACCTCCCCAAGTGAAACACGGGTCCGGGGACCCACACTTTATGTCCCCGTGAAGTAGGTGTAGCAAAAGCACCCTCAAGAGGGCAGAAGGCTGCACACCTTGTCTGGTCATTGTCTCCTCTGCAATGTGCACATCAGAGGCAGAATAACGCCATCATGAAGAGGGAGGAGGCTAGAGAATTCTAGAACCGGGAGAACAGGAGAGACACCGGCGCTGAACTCTCACACCTTAGCAGAGACTGCGGATTCCCCCAAGTCTGCCATCTCTCTTTCCTCAACAGAATCTTGAGTTTTCTGCCATCCAGAAAATTTCATCCTCCCTTGAGCCAGGCATGATCACGTGACTAAGTTCTGGCCAGCGGAAGGCAGCTTCTAGAAGTGTTCCTGATGAGTGGAGACGTGCCTGTCTTCCTGCTCTCCTTCTTCTTCTCCTTCTTCTTCTTCTTCTTCTTCTCCCCCCCTCCCCCTCCTTCTTTAAATGTTTATTTATTTTTGAGACAGAGAGAGACAGAGCTTGAGCAGGGGAGGGGCTGAGAGAGAGGGAGACACAGAATCCGAAGCAGCTCCAAGCTCCGAGCTGTCAGCACAGAGCCCGACGCGGGGCTTGAACCCACGGACTGTGCGATCATGACCTGAGCCGAAGTCGGACGCTTAACCGACTGAGCCCCCCAGGCGCCCCTCTGCTGTTCTTCTTCTATTGGTTGGAATGAGGACGTGATGGCTGGCACCGAGGCAGCCATCCTGGGCATCACTATTAGAGCTAATACATGGTACACCAACAGGATAGAAGACGGGTGAGTCGCTGCCTCCATGGAGCCCCCCTGGGCCATCCATGGACCACCTTACTCTGGACTCAAGAACGAGAGCGATGTAAATGTCCCGTGTAAGCCGCTGCTCCTTTGGATTTTCCAGGCAAATCTAATCTTAACGGATAGAAAGTAAAGGACCGAGAGAGGCAGCTGTGAGGGGCAGAGCAGAAACATGTGGTGCGGCCGGGGCTGTGGGCAGGTGGGCTAGAGGCCCGGCCAGGTTCGGGGGGCGGGGGCAGCCGCTGCTGGCACTGTCCCTACTGTCCCTGAAAAGCGGCCGTGTTCGCAGCCAGGGTGGCGGCGGGGAGGGCCAGGAGGGGCGGTGCGCAGAAAGGGGGGCGCCCGCAGCGGGGGGGCACACGTCTTCGGACACCCACGGGGGGTCACACGTCCTCGGACACCCACAGCGGGGGGGTCACACGTCCTCGGACACCCACAGCGGGGGGGGCACACGTCCTCCGACACCCACGGGGGCGCCGCGGAGGGCGGGGCGCAGAGGGGTCCGGGCTGTTCCTCGCGCTCCGACCGGCCCCCGCGGACCCGGGGAGGTAGTTTCTCAGCCTTCGGGGGGGGGGGGCGGTTGTGCAGGCGGCTCGTCTGCCTGATGCCGGCTGCGCGGGGAACCAGGACCTTCGCGGTGCGGAGGCCTGGGCTCCACCCGAGGGGTCCCGCATTTTGAGCCGGACGCAGGACTGGCCGGGGCTCTGCGCGTCCCCGGGGTGGGGGCTGGGGCTCTGGGGGCGGTGGGAAGCGCCGGGGGTGGGTGGCTGCAGGGTGGGTGGTAGGCGAGACCAGTACCCAGCCCCCAACCCCGGCCCTTCTTTCCTTCCTCCTAAGAAAGAAAGTCCCCGAGTTTTAGCCAGAAATGCAAACATCTGCGTGGATGCGACCAGGTGG